CATATCATTACAGACATAACTTCTTTTATTATGCTTCATTTTATTGCACTTCTCAGATACTGTGTTTTTTACAAATTGAAGGTTCGTGGCAACCCCACATCGAGCAAGTCTATTGGCATCATTTTCCCAGCAGCATTCACTCATTTCATGTCTCTGTTACATTTTGGCAATTCTCACAATACTTCAAACTTTCATTATTATTATATTTGTTATGGTGACCTATGAGCAGTGATCTCTGATTTACTATTATGATAGTTTCTGGGCATCACAAACCATGCCCATACATAAATGGTGAACTTAGTTGATAAATATATATGTATTCTGACTGCTCCACTGACCAGCCATTCCCCAGCTCATTTTGACTAGAGATGATTAAGCTTAGATGAAAAGCTCATGTTGAAAGTTGAGATAGGCCAGAAACTAGGCCTCTTGCACCAGTTATCCAGTTTGTGAATACAAAGAAGAAGTTCCTGAAGGAAATTAAAAGTTCTACTTCAGTGAACACATGAATGATCAGAAAGCAAAACTTCCTTATTGCTGATATGGCAAATGATCCAGAGGTCTGGATAGAGCAGACCAGCCACAACATTCCTTTAAGCAAAAAGCCTAATCCAGAGGCAGGCCCTAAATCTTTTCAGTTCTGCAAAGGTTGAGAGAGTTGAGGAAGCTGCAGAAGGAAAGTTTGAAGCTAGCAGCAGTTGCTTCATGAGGTTTAAGAAAAGAGGCCATCTCCATAACATCAAAGTACAAGGTGAAGCAGCAGATGCTGATGGAGAAGCTACAGCCAGTCATCCAGAAGATCTAGCTCAGATAATTAATGAATGTGGTGATGCTCAACAGTAGACTTTCAATATAGGCAAAACAGTCTCCTACTGGAGGGAGATGCCATCTGGGACTTCTATAGCTAGAGAAAAAAAGTTGATGCCTGGCTTCAAAGATTCAGAAGACAGACTGACTCTGATACAGATGTACAATGAAATTAATGTTTTCTTGGCTGTTAACACAACATCCATTCTGCAGCCTACAGGCCAAGGAGTAATTTTGCCTTTCAAGTCTTGTTTTTTAAGAAATACATTTCCTGCAAATCAAAACCACAGTGAAGTACCACCCCACACCTGTCAGAATGGCTAAGATCAGAAACACAAGAAACAATAAATGTTGGTGAGGATGTGGAGAAAAAGGAACCCTCTTGCACTTTTGGTAGGAATGGAAACAGGTAGAGCCACTCTGGGAAACAGTATGGAGGTTCCTCATAAAGTTAAAAATAGAACTACCCTATGACCCAGTAATCACACTACTGGGTATTTAACCAAATAATGCAAAAACACTAATTCAAAGGGATACACAATTCATTAGTGTAGCCCTATGTTTATAGCAACATTATTTACAGTAGCCAAATTATGGAGGCAGCCCAAGTGCCCATTGATAGATGAATAGATAAAGAATATATGGTGTGTGTGTGTGTGTATATATGCAATGGAATATTACTCAGCCATTAAAAAATGAAATCTTGCCATTTGGAGTGACAGGGATGGAGCTGAAGAGTGTAATGTTAAGCTAAAGAATCAGTCAGAGAAAGGCACATACCATATGATTTCACTCATATGTGGTATTTAAGAAACAAAGCAAATGACCAAAGGAAAAAGAGAGAGACAAACCAAGAAACAGACTCTTAATTCTAGAGAACAAACTGATGGTTACCATAGGGGAGATGGGTGGGAGGATGGGTGAAAGAGGTGATGGGGATTAAGGTGGACACTTGTCATGATAAGCACTGGGTGATGTATCGAATTTTTAATCACTGTATTGTACATCTGAAACTAATATCACTGTATGTTAATGATACTAGAATTACAATAAAAAATAAAGTATCTTTCAGAACAGTAAAAAAAAAGAAATTTCATAAGCTTCTATATAGCAGATATAGACTATGATTCCTCTAATGGACCTGTGCAAAGTCAACTGAAAACCTTCTGTAAAGAATTCACCATTCTAGATACCATTAAGAACATCCATAATTCACAAGAAGAGGTCAAAATATCAATACATACATCTGTTTGGAAGAAACTGATTTAGCCCTCCTGGATGACTTTGAGGGGTTCAGATCTTCATGGAGGAGAAGTAATTGCAGATGTGGTAGAAACAGCCACAAAACTAGAACTGGAAGTGGAGCTTGAAGATGGGACTGGATGGCTTCCCTCTCATGAAAAAAAACTTGAGTGAAGGAGGAGTTGATTTTTATGGATGAACAAAGAAAGGATTTCTTGAGATGGAATCTACTCCTGGAGAAGGTGCTGTGAAGATTGGTGAAATGTTAACAAAGGATTTAGAATAGTACATCAACTTAGCTGATGAAGCAGAGATGGAGTTAGAGAGTATTGATTGACTCCAATTTTGAAAGAAGTTCTTTGGATAAAATGCTATCAAACAGCATTACATGCTACAGAGAAATATTTCATGAAAGGAAGAATTAATCAATGCAGCAAACTGGTTGTCTTATTTTAAGAAATTGCTTCAGCCACCTCAGCTTTCAGCAACTGTTACCCTAATTAGTCAGCAGGCATCAACAGGGAGGAAAAACCCTCTACCAGTAAAATGATTACAACTTGCTGAAACCCCAGATGATGTTTAGCACTTTTTAGCAATACAGTATTTTAAAATTAAGGTATGTACATTTTTTAGATATAATGCTATTGCACACTTAATAGACAACAGTATAGTGTAAACATAACTTCTATATACACCAGGAAATGAAAAAAAAAGCATTTGATTCACTTTACTGCAATATTTGTTTTATTGCAATGATCTGGAACACAACCTCAAATATCTACAAGGTATTCCTGTATCATTTTTGTGAATCATGCTTATTTTTAGAGAATAAATTTCCTAAAGAGCAATGAATTGTACTTGGAGAATTAAAACTCCACAAAATCCGACAAGACAAAGATAGCTGTTCTCACCATCTCATTCATCTTCTTATTCATAAACTTGAAATTCTAGCTAGTGCTATAAGGCAAGAAAAATTAAAAAGCATACAAATTGGAAAAGAGGAAATAGAATATTTGCATATGACCTCATTGTCTACATAAATCCCAAGGTCACAAGATACCAGATAAATATACAAATATAAACCACATTTCTACATCTAGCAATGAACATGTCAAGATTAAAAATAGAAACACAAAAATAAACCTCAACCTAACCCACACTTTATTCAAAAATTACCTCAGAATGAATCACACACTTAAATGTAAAATGTAAAACTATAAAAACTTTAGAAAAAGATATAGAAGAAAATCTTGACACCAAAAGCATGAGCCATAAAAACAAAAATTGATAAGCTGGACCTTATGTATATGAAACTTCTGTTTTATGAAAACGTATGTGAAGAGGATGAAAAGCTACAGACGGGGAAAAATATTTGCAAACAACATACCTGACAAAAGACCAAGACCTAAGACACATAAAGGACTCTCAAAATTCATAAAAAAGCAAATGGTTCTGTTGGAAAATGGGCAAATGATACAAATAGGCACTTCACCGAAGAAGATATACAGATCAAATGAGCACACAAAAAGATATTCAGCAGCACTAGCCAGTAAGAAACTTCAAATTAAAACCAGTATCATTAAAAAATGATATTGGTATATCATTACACACCTATCAGAATGGCTAAAATAAAAATAGTGATACCAAATATGGACAAGAGAGCAGAAAAACTGGATCATGCATACATTTCTGGTAGGAACATAAAATGGTTCAGTCACTCTGGAAAACAATGTGGCAGTTTCTTATAAAACCAAGCATTTAGTTACCCTATGACCCAGCAATTGTACTCTTGGACATTTTCCCCAGAAAGACCTGTACACAAACATTCATGGCAACTTTATTTGTAATAGCCCCAAACTGAAAACCACACAGATATTTCTCATCTGGTGCCTGATTAAGCAAACTGTGGTACATTCACCATGAAATACTGCTCAGCAATAAAAAGGAATGATCTGCTGACACATGAAACAGTGTGGATGAATCTGATGGAATTACTATCAGTGAAAAAAGCCAATTTTGAAAGGTTACATGCTATATGATTCCACTTGTGTACCATTCTTGAAAGGACAAAATTATAAAATGGAGGCCAGGCTAATGGTTGATGGGGGTTGGTAATGGGAGATGGAGCTGGAGCAGGGGAGAGAAGTACGTGTGTCTCTGAAAGGTCAACGTGGGGCGGGGATCCTCATGGTGATGGAAATGTTCTGTGTCTTGACTGCATCACCATCAATCCTGGTTGTGATATTTCACTATGGTTTTTTCAAGATGCTACCATGGAGGAAACTGGGCAAAGGGTCCGCAGGGCTTCTCTGTATTATTTCTTACACCTGCTTGTGAATCTGCCATTACCTGAAGGCAAAAAGTTTAATTTAAAAACTTGGCAGGGCACCTGTGTGGCTCAGTGGGTTGGGGCCTCTGCCTTTGGCTCAGGTCATGGTCTCAGGGTCCTGGGATCGAGTCCCATATCGGGCTCTCTGCTTGGCAGGGACCCTGCTTCCTCCTCTCTTTCTGCCTGCTTCTCTGCCTACTTGTGATCTCTCTCTCTGTGTGAAATAAATAAATAAAAATTTTAAAAAAATTTAAAACTTGGCATTTTACTAAAGTCTTCAAGATTTTAAGTTACATTGTATAATTGATAATGATCGCCCCCCTACGTAAATGTTGGTGAGTTCAAGATTTTCTTAGACAGTGAGTGCCTAATAATGACCAAAAGTGTGAAATACATCATTCAGTATCTAAGAATAATTCAATCAGCATTGTAGAAGGGTAAACAGATGTGTCTATATTAAAGGCCTGTTTTGATTATTAAAACAAACAAACTCCAAAAGAAAACCTCTGGGAAGTGGAGAGCAATTGGTCACACTCGTTCTAGACCTTGATGGAAATGCTAAGGATCTGCCATCTGGGTTGTTGAGAGGAGACTGACATTCTGCTGCATTTTTCTCTCCCAGGATCTCCTCTTCAGCGTGTGTGCCCTCAATGTCCTCTCCACCATCGTGTGTGCGTTGGCCACGGCCATGTGCTGCATGCAGATGGTCTCTTCCGATGTCCTCCAGATGGTGAGTGGGCCCCTTCCTTCCCAAGCACACTCAAAATAGTGAGACTGACCCCTTTCTCCTCCAGCCTTTTTGAAACTAAAGGAGAGTGGACGCTTCTGGCTTCCAACCAGAAGCCCCAGGGATGATAGGCTCTGAGAGTCCATGGAGCTTGGTGGTCACCTCATGCTGTCCTCTGGAAGACAGAGGACCTGTACATTTGGTGCCATTAATGTATTTATTTTAGGCATTGTTGGAACTGTGTGTTAACGGAGTCCAGCCACCGTCACACCTGTCTAGATGACCCCCAGTGTGTGCTCTTGAGTAATTTCAGAGACAGTCCTAGATAGCCCTAGACATCCTCTGGGTCCAGAACCTCCAGAGCAAGGTGCCTTCCTCCAGCTCTGGAATTCTCTTTTAATAAAAGGAAGTTGCTTTTAGAAAATGAGTCCTTTTCAAGTAAAAAAAAAAAAAAACAAAAAACAAACCCTGCTCATCTGTGCTTTTTAGATTTGCTAATTAACCCTGAGCTCATAATCTAGTGGCAGAGTGACTGGCTGGCTATCATTTGCTCCCCGCCCCCACCCCCAACCAGCCAAAGCCTTACAGCTGAAGAACTGCCGCTCCCAAGGGAGAGAAATGAGACCAGGAGCAAGGGTCACACACTTATTAATACACGTCTATAAGTACATGCTTAATTAATAATGAAGGCTCTTCATTTATTCAACGTGAATGAAACAGCCCACAGTTCTCAGTATGTTACCGCTAAAGTCAGCATGATAAAGAGAAACTGATGGGAAGACATGGTTCTCCAAGGCTAAGGGTAGGAATCCTGTGTGTGTGTGTGTGTGTGTGTGTGTGTGTGTGTTTCTATCTCTGCCTCTGTCTCTCTCTCTCTTTGCTTCTTCGAGACCCATCCTGCCTCTTCCTCAATGTTTTATGTGTCTCATGAATGAAAAAGCAAGCTGTTCTTGCAGTGGACTGTTTGATTTACTTTTTCTCATCTACCCCATGGCAATACATCAGTTCCTCAAGTTACAGGGCCAGAAAGCATCATTACCAAGACGTTAAAAATTCATTGGTTCTAATCACATGCAATGTCCGTCCCTTTGTCCCAGTGTATATCTACACAGCTGTCACAGCCGGGCCTGACCTTTCAGAGGGGTGGCAGTTTTCTGAAAGGGATTTAATTAAGCAGTTATTCAGCGGCAATGAACTTTTGGCCTCGCTCACCGAGGCCTCATGTTGGTGATTTTCTCCGGCGTGTTGTATAAAGAAAAGGTTAAGTACCGTGGGGTTCTACTCACTTCTGCAGATTTTACCATTGATCTGTAAACATCATACCAATTTGACCAAACTAACAGATCCAAAGGGCTATAAATATAAAAGTTTGCTTTCCCCGGTTTGAAGCGTTAAAATGAAAATTACCAACTAAATCAGAAGGAGACGTGTGGTAGCCGTGATGGTATATGCAGTTATGATCACATTGATGTAGGCTCATGCTATCATTCCGCCATGTGGCTCGCCCACGGGCCTGCCATCCTGGGCCTGGCGTCAGCCGTGTCTGCATCTGAGTCCCACCTATTCTGTGTATGAAGAAAGTGACTCCGGACATGTCACCGAACCCGCCTGAGCCTCGGTTTCCTCACCTCTGAGATGGACCGAATGGCATACCGGGTGAGCATTCAAGAAGTGTGACCTACTTGACTCTTAAATGCAGGGGGAATATTGGTTTGTTATTGGGAATGTCCTGCAGCCATGACTGTGAATGCCACGGTCCTTGTTGTACTCTGTTGACTGTAAAACACCACGGGGAGGTAAGGTGTGGTCACCATGACAACAGCTGCCCTCAGAGCCCATGGTTGTTCCATTGCTGAGTATCTGTGGGTAACTTTGCTTCTAACTCCTGACATAGAAGTAGAAATCAGTTAAGTTCCTGCTGGCAAGTCTTTTTCCCTTTGTGACTATGGGCTGTGGGACCAGACAAGGCTCTACTCTCCTTGCAAGTCTCTGGCTGTGCTGCTGACCTGCAGTGTCTCTGGGGGTGAGGCGGCGGTGCAAAAGGGAACTGGGGTCATATGACCGTGGTGATTTGTGTGACCCGTGCATGACCTTGGGTGCACCGCTGCCTCTTCATCCCAGTTTCCTCTGCTCTGTGCAAGACTTTTCATGCTCTGCTGTCCTCAGTGGCCGCTGAGAGAGGAATCAGATAATCCATGTGCATGGGCTTTGAAAAACCCTGGTGGCCCACCTGGAGGAGGTTGGTTTTTACCACATTGGTCAGAGGCTGGGCAAGGCTGGCTACACAGGCTGCACCCTGGAAGAAGGAGAAGTGAGGAGGCACAGGGACTCATGGTTTGCCCTGAGGGATGGGACCTGGAATCGAGTTATTCATGAGCATGCTTCAGAAGCTCTTTTTAACTTTTTAGAAAAGTCTTCTCCTTTTTTTTCAGCTTTATTCAGGTGTAATTGACTTTAATTTCCTTACTTTATTTCATTAGACTGTTGAATTAAAGAAGTAATATATGATCACTGAAACAAGTAAAATACAGAGATATATAAAGACAAAGTTAATAAGCTATGTTCTTCCTCCTCATTCTCCTGAGGAAACTGCAGCGAATCCTTCCATTTCTTTCTTGATTTCTTAGTGTTTATATTAACATATACAAATAGTCTATTTTCCTTGTTCCTCCTTCCTTCCTTCTTTCCATTCTTCCTTCTCTTCTTCCTTCTGCTATGTCTTCCTTTTTTTGTTGTTTTTAAAAATTTTATTTATCAGAGAGAGAGAGAGGGAAGCAGACTTCCTGCTGAGGGGGGGGCCCAATGTAGGGCTCAATCCCACGACCCTGAGATCAGGACCTGAGCTGAAAGCAAATGCTTAACCAACTGAACCAGCCAGGCGCCCCATGTTATGCCTTCCTTTTAACCAAAGGGGATCATACCATTCATTTCGCTCTGCCACTTGATTTTGTAACCTGAAACGATCAAGGACATCCATCTAGGTCAATATACACAAAAATGTCTTCATGTCTATATTGCTCCATACTGTGCATGCGACGTTAATGAGCCATTTCTCTATGTGTGGATGCTTGTGTTGTTTCTTGGTTTTGATTTTGGTTTTGATAGTCCCGTGCAGATGGCACTACAGTAAGCTCCTCCTGCATACAGTTATAGCTCCCTTCGTCCACCTGTGCTGAACCCACTGGCCGGATAGCCACGGTTCTCCATCCCACATGTAAGCTGTGCTGCCTGCTCCCCACAGCATACCTGCCCACCGGCAGCCTCTCTGGTTCACCCACATGCCATCTCTGCTCCCAGCAGTTGGGTCACAAGCTTTCTAAGTGTCAGTTGTAGCTGTCCCCAAAACAGTCTAAGCCAGTGGTATTTGGCTTTTAAGTGCATATTGTACTATTATAGAAGCCAATGAAATATAAGTGTCAAAAAGGATCATTGTTTCTCTTATTAAAAAAATGAGTGCACTGGGTATGGTGCATAAACAATGAATTCTGTTACACTGAAAAGAAATAAATAAAAAAAAATGAGTGCTTTGGAAAGATTCAGTGAAAGAGGGTCCCTAGATCAATTGCTCTCTATTTCAGTGTGGATGGGACAGTCATGAGGGATTGAGATACAAAGTTTTAAAGATCTTGGAGGTGTCTGCACACACACTGTTTCACTAGTACTTTTAAGTTCCAGCTCTGCTCCCAAAACACAGACACTGGAAGCAAGAGAATTCATTTATGCACCAAAGACCACGGGGCACCCCAGACCTCAGAGTGACTCACAGCAAGGGCATTAGCCTGGCATGGAGGGAACCCATAATTCCTTCCTTGCTCCTGAGGGTCTGCATGTTGGGATAATTAACCATTTTTGAAACTCATCATGAATGCATGTATACATGAGATGCAAAGCTTTATGCCTAGCGTCAGAATTTATAAAGCTAGAGCACTCTAATACGTTTTGGAAATAGTGATAAAAGGCAAACTGATGATAAAATTCAGTTTATTGATACAGTTTAGCGGAGAAAGCTTTTACCTCCAAAGTACCTCTGATCTCACATTTTTAGTTTTATTTCTTGAGTGTAATCTCATTTTCTCCATTTCTCCATTCAGCTCTTTTCCTCCCCATGAACTTTATTACCAGCCACTTTACCCTAAGGGACATCATCTGCTGTTACATGCATCTCCATTAGGCACTTGCTTGTGAACTTTATCTTTTATTATTGTCATTTATGTTCTCAACACAAGTCGTGTGCCCTGTCAAGCAGAAGGCCTCCAGAAAGTGCAGACAGAGTGCCAAGCCTTTCACAGGTGTGCTAACTGTGGGCTTGCCCATGGAGCTAGCAAAGGGTGCTGCGGTCAGGGACACCCCCAAGCCCGGAACTCCCAGAATCACTCAAGTTTACCAGCATCTACACCTCTCCAGCTCACCCCAGTTCATTAGCGCCTCATGGAGGCTGGCCCTTCTTGGACCCATAGTGAGGTCTGGGTTTACCAGAAACATCTCCATGTCTTCCTTTTTTTTTGTTTTTTTGTTTTTAAAGATTTTATTTATCTGGTAGATGCTACTTATCTATCAGACTAGGACCAAAGGATGTCTGATTAATCAATCTTTCTTTCTTCCTTTTCTCCATCCCCCTCCCTCCTTCTGTCCCTTCCTTTCCTCTTTCTTTCTTTCTCTCTCTCTGTCTCTTTCCTTCTTTCTTCTAGATTTTATTTATTTATTTTGGGGGGGGGAGAGAAAATCTTATCCAGACCTGTGCTGAGTGTGGAGCCTGATGCAGGACTGGATCTCACAATCCTGAGATCTTGACCTGAGCCAAAATCAAGAGTGGATGCTTAACTGACTGAGCCACCCAGGCACTCCCTGATTCATCTTAAAAAGCTAGTTGCAACAGACAATCCTAACAGTGAAACGTGTATATGCTGCAAACGTTGTGACTTTAAATATGCAGATGAGCATTTGTCTACCAGGGTTTTGATCTGGGGCCAAGACCTTCTCTTTGATTGGGGGTCTGGGTATTAGTGTACCAAGTTATATTTCCTGTATAAAGTTATAGAAAACAGCACCGTCTGTAATTTCCAGATTCCATTCCTTTACATTGGAGTGACACCTGCAAAGTGAGCAGAAAGCAGAGCTCCCCCGGATGTTTTGACTCCTCTCCGCTCTCTTAGGGCTGTCTTGCCAGGACCTGGTTTGGCAGCATTTTCATACTCAGCTGTGCTCCTTTGTCAAGTCTCCCCAAAGCACTCAGCTTGGTTCTCATAGAACAAGCCAGTTTTTCTGCCTGCATTCGTAGTTCGTTATAGACTACGGTCGTAACTAACCTAGCCATTGGCTGCTGGGGAAGGCATCCCGTGCCCTGGATTGGCAGGGAGAGCCCCTGGGGTGGTAGCAGGACTACAGAGCAGCAACTTGCTTCTGGTGGGCATGACTCCGGCGTTTGGAGTGTGGAGACAGAGCCCAGCTCATCTAGTCGGTTGGCGACGAGAGGTCAATTAAGGAATATTAGCATATTTCTACCAAGTGTCAGGAAGGGTAGAGGAAGAGAGCTATTGCCCTGTATTTCTTAGTCCTTATGGGAAATCTCAGAGATGTGTGTGATACATTCAAGAGTGTGGTGGGGAAGCCGGGAGAGTGTGCTCTGCCCCCCAGTGAACCAGAGAGGCTGCCTCTGCTCAGGAGTCTGGGGAGGGGTGTGAAAAGAGGCTGGCAGACCCGTCCTGGAGCCTGGAAGAGAAGAATTTGCTCAGAACTTACAGGACTTCCTGGAAATACCAGCCCCTTGTCCTGCCCTTCCTTCCTCACTCCTCCGCCTTCCCGCATGGCAGGAGAGGGAGGTGTAGGGACTGCAGAGCGAGTATTAGTGATACGGTCCTTTGTTTAAGCCACACAACACTGCCATCTGGGTCTTTGACAGAAATGGTGTTTTCCAGTGTGACCCTGTCAGGCCGGGTGAGTTCAGAGAGGGGGTTCGAGACTTGAAGAGGTCAGTAATGTGCTCATAGTCTCATGGGCCCTCAGTGGTCAGGCAGGGCCACCCAAGGCCCACTGACCTCTTCACATCCCCTTTGAGACCCCAGAGTATGGACTGTTCTTATAGAACCAAATTTTAGGGTCTTCCTACGTGGGCCTTGGGAAGCTGCTGTAGGCTCATGTACCCCCAGCCCTCTTCCCTGGTTCCAATGCGCCTGGAAGGATAGTACCCCCTAAGTTGGGACTCCCTCTCCAGAGCAGACAGATGAGGAGGGGCTTGTCTCCAGCAGGGTCTAAAATGCACACTCCTGGGGCACCTGGGTGGCCCAGTGGGTTAAGCCTCTGCCTTCAGCTCAGGTCATGGTCTCAGGGTCCTGGGATCGAGTTCTGTGTCAGGCTCTCTGCTCAGCGGGGAGCCTGCTTCCCCCCTCCCCCACCTACCTCTCTGCCTACCTGCAATCTCTCTCTCTGTCAAATAAAAAAAAAAAGTCTTTAAAAAAAATGCACACTCCTCTTTTGTGGATGACGAGTGCTGGGCAATAATAATGCTCACATCAGGTGTGGGAACACCTCAGCCGGGTACCAGCACCACTCCGCTACACACGGAACAAACAAAACATTTGCAGATGGCCCAGAACAAGGAGGACCACCTGGGGAAGAAGTGGTGGTTGAGAGCCGGTTTTCCACCCACCACACCCCAATGCAGGCTCAGTCTTTGAGCCTGGCCGCTGATCTGTAGACATGAGAGCACGCAGCATGGTGGGGTGTGGGCTGGGCAAAAGGCATTCCTGTCCGTCCTGAAGGATGACTAGGAGGTTGCCAGGTGAAAGGGAAGTGGGGATCTGGGAAGAGAGAACAGACACAGAAATGAGCAGCCACGGAGGCAGCTTCCATGGAACACAAGGTTAGGAGTGGGGAAAGTGCAGACCAGTAGCTCTTTTCTTCCATTCTCCCTCTAGGGCCCCTCGTAGGCAGAGCCCAACGGGAAGCTAACTGACAGGGGAGTCTGGGAAACGTGGTTTGCAGACTTCTAACTCTAACATCTCAGAGCAGAGTCCCAAGCAGGTAACCTTGGACTTGAAGACAGACCCCACCTTGTTGGGGAGGAGGGTGTATGTCAAGTGTTACTTGCAGACTTCCTCCTGGGAAGGTTAAGGAACCTAGGTGAAAGCTCAGTTCGCAATAAGCTGATCTGAGTTGCTTCCCTGAAAATGGAGACAACACACCACTGGAAAGGTGATCTGGCGTTTAGAGCAGAAGTGGTTAAAGCTGTCATTTAGCTTTTAAAACACCTCTGGTGTATGGCAGCCTCTACGCATTTAAACCGGCTAATAGGATCATCTGAAGTGTCTTGCCTTTCTCGTTGAAAATGCTTGTTGTTCCTGCTCCTGGTGGGATTGTACCTTTAGTAAGAGAGCATTTTGCCTTTTGCATTTCATGCTTGAGTATGTTATTGATTTTTCTAATTTCTGATAGAGACTCATTCAAAATATGTCCCTATTAGACCTTAAGGACATTTGGCCTTGTCCTAACTGCTCAGCTTTGTGCAATGCACATCAGGGCTGATAGCTTTCCAAGGCAGAGGGTGACAGACACACATTCGACCAGCTCCTAGTCACTGACTCACCTCTATTTCAGACAATTAAACAAAGCCACAGCTCAGACCTGCTGGAAAGGCAAGGAATGTGCTCTGTGTGTTAAGAAAAGCCACATGAGGGGCACCTGGGTGGCTCAGTGGGTTAAAGCCTCTGCCTGTAGCTCGGGTTGTGATCCCAGGATCCTGGGATCGAGCCCCATATCAGGCTCTCTGCTCAGCAGGGAGCCTGCTTCCTCCTCTCTCTCTCTCTCTCTGCCTGCCTCTCTGCCTACTTGTGATCTCTGTCTGCCAAATAAATAAATAAATAAAATCTTAAAAAAAAAAATAAGCCACATGAGATGATTTCAGTCTGATGCGTTACATGTGTGGACACGGTCACTATTCTTTCTCTGTAAGTCTGGAGCATGCTGATTTCATGGTATTTGACCATATTCAGAATCATGACCTCACCCTTGCTCATGCAAAAATGTCCTACCATCCCAGCCTCCTAAGAAGTCCAGACTACCCTAAGCACGGCTGCCAGAAGGCTCTTCCTACCACACAGCTTTAATAGCACTGCTTCCCAGCTCTAGCACCCTCCCTTGCCCCTCTAGTGCCTCCAGAATTAACTTCTAGGGTCTTATGTAATTTGCTTTTCTTAAACACATCTTTCACTAGCTCACCTGTTCTTCTTGAGCCTAGAGCACCTTCTTATAAGCCTACCTCCCAATCTTCAGACCTGTTCAAATGTCATCTTCATTAACCCTTTGTAGACTCCAGGCCCCCACACAGTGCTTGGAGAGCTTGTTTACTAGCAGAACTGTTCTTGCTTGGCCATATACGGTTGATTTTCTCACTCTTCATGTGGTGGACAGCCCAGAGTGTAGCATTCGAGTAGCACAGAGCTCCTTGTACCTGCAGGCACTCACAGTGAAGTGTTGATTGGAACTGGAGCAATGGCTCACACATCTCCCTGCTACAGGTAACCTCTGGCAGCCGTGACCAGAGATGGGAAGTTATTGGCCAGTGCTTCCTATGGCAGAAATGGAAAGCTAGGCAGAGGCAGGATTCTTTTTGTTTAAGCAATTTTAACTCAGTTTGCTCAAGCAGTGTCTTGGTTTTAAGGTCACCCCACAGAATGTTTTGGAGCTCATGATTCTTTTCCTTCAGAGCAGTGTTTTACAGAGTGTATGAATTTCTAGGACTGAGAAGTGTTCATAGATACCATGTGTCCAAAAGGACGCATAATGAAATATTTGAGAAATATTCCTTTAATGGATTAAACAGATTTTATTTAATTTATTTATTTATTTATTTATTGGTGCAGACCTTCTCAGGAGCTTTAACACACAAACATGCACTACAAGGCACCAAAAAGGGAGTACAACACTATGTAGCATTTCCCAAATTTATTTCACTGTAGGAATTTGGGAGGGGCTGTAGAGGAACATCTTGAGGGTCTGGTGTTTCCTCATGAATGCACTTCAGGAAGTGCTATCTTAAATCATGGACATCAGGCACCATTTTAACCCACAGGCTTTGAGTAGTATAATCTAAAGAGAAAGATTTAGGGGTGGGGGTGGAATTAAAGACTTCCCAGACTGCATTTCTCCTTAGAATGGAGGCATTCTGTGTAGCATTGTGAGAAACAAAGCCTAACGAAGAAGCTGTGGGGGCGAGGCATTCCTCTCGGAGCCATCATCTTTAAGTGTGTGTTTCGCCGTCACAGTCCGACAGTTTAAATTACATAAGTTCCAAACGAATCATTAAAGCTTATGTATAATTAGCTTAATTAGACACAAGCCACACAAGATGTCCCAAATAACTCTGAATCTCTCTGTTTTCCAGTTCCTTCCACAAAGGGTGCATTCTGCCAGCCCGGCCTGCGTGACCCCCCATGGCACCGTGCTCCACCAGACCCTGGATTTCGATGAGTTCATACCCCCACTCCCACCTCCACCCTATTACCCGCCAGAGTACACCTGCACGCCCACAGCCGAAGCCCACAGGTGGGTCTTTCTGGTGATCTATAGGTGACCTATGCAGACACCAGGAAGATAGGAGCAGTAGGGGAGGTGGAACTTGCAACAGCCACGCTCGTTTTCAGTGGGGCAGCTGAGCAGAGGAGAGTGAACATGAGAGAGCATGTTTGATTAGAGACCAGAGCGTGAAGAGTGAAAAAAGAGAATGTTGGCTTTGAGAGAGAACGTTTCTCTTGGTATTGCCACCGTGCAACAACAAAAGCAAACCTAGCCCCACAAGAGCGGCTCCATTACGTTCTCATGAAACACAAAACTGCCGCTGAGTTACGGTCATTAAGAGGACCTGTAAAATTTAATTAAAGATTTAATCGGCTCTGTGATTATTTTAATTTCAGTGGACAGGGCCTGTCGACATCTCCCCAAAAAAAAAAAAAAAAAAAAAAAAAAGGTAAAACTGCCTAGGGAATGAGACTTTTATTTCACAAACACAAGGACTATTCGACCAAAGGAAACCCTGACAAAAGACATTCTGATTGCCTTTAAGAGAAAGGTCAGCAGTTCAGGATCCCCTCCCCATCCCAGGAGTGACAATGGGATGGTTCTGCCTTTTCAGGGGCCTCCACTTGGACTTTGCTCCCTCTCCATTCAGCACTTTGTATGACGTTGCCATCAACAGTCCTGGCCTGCTCTACCCCACGGAGCTGCCCCCGCCCTACGAGGCCGTGGTGGGCCCGACCGCCACCAGCCAGGTGAGACCTCCCCACCCCAGACAAGCCAGTTCACTGTACTAAGACACACTCCTTGCATTTGTATTTCTCTCTGTGATCTTGTGGAGAGAAGGCAGCAGGCTCAGAGAGTAGGACCTACAGAGACTCCACCCCGGGTCCAAGGATGCCAGTCCCAGTGTTTGAGCTTCTCTCTCTGGGCTCCTCTCAGATGCACCCGAGCTGAAGTCTGGCTGGTGTGTCTGGGGACGCGGTGCAGAAGGAGCTGATACATGTTCGAAAGCCATGAGCAGAGACCCCCCAGGGATAGAGCTCAGGCTATGAACTGAGTACTCGGGGGACCCTGGCCTGTGTCAGTGACATACCTCTGTCATTGTTTACTGGGGAGTTGAGAGAGCCGTGCCAGATCCCTGGTCCTGCATGAGGCCTGGCAGCCATAGGCCAGGAAATTGCCTGAGACACCAGGCAAGGTGTAGCAGGCTTCCTCTGAGCCTGGTGAGTCAGGCACTCTCCTTGCCTTGGGGTCCCTGACCCACAGTGGGCACGGACTGGGGGGATACGTTGGTGGATTCTCGGTTTCCTCACCTGTAAAGTGGGGATAATAGTATCGAGCACATAGGATGGGATGGAATGTGTGAAATGGACCCAGCACAGCACCTGACGTGGAGTAGGTTCTGATTCAGCAAACATCAGTTGCCCCTCTTTATCGAAGGCCGCAAGCCAGAGCAGGGATGTTAACCCTCAAAATTCACACAGCACCTGAATGCAGGTCAGGGTTTGGGGAAGGCCCAGAACTGGGGGCCCATGGGTGAGCACAGCAGTCAAGCCGAGAAGGGGCACATTTAGGGGAACTGAGAAATCCTGTCAAGAACGGGGACTGCAGCCAGTTCTGGGCCCTGAGCCCTGGGCAGAAGAGGGTATGCAAACAAGAACCAGGAGCATCTGAAGGGCACCGCTGAGCTCTCCCTAACCCATCTGGACCCACATACCTATGGGCTTCTCAGCACCACAGAATCTTCAGACAGGATCCCAAGTCACCTACCAGGATGGAGTGCGGGTCTCACATCTAGCCCAGACCCTCTGATGTCCTCCCTGATGTCCTCCCTGTCCCTTTGAAGTCTCAAGGCCATGTGGTGAGAAGCCCAGGAGGCAGTGCTTGTCCTTTCCTCAGCCACCCACTGAGGAGCTCCTGGCCCTAAGGGACCTCTGTGGGTGGAGAAATGGTTTTACACAATGGCTTTTCAGACTCAGCTTCCACAAGCCTCTAGAAACAATCACATCCACAAGGGACCACATTCTGCAGGCCAGACAGTTGTGGGACAGGAAGAAAAGGCAAGAAGTGCTTACCTCTGTGCCCAGCAGGATGTTGGTTACACATTTTTTGCAAGAAAGATATTCCTTGAGGGTCACCTGGGCGAGACTCCTCAGGCTGCCCCAGCCCACCCTGGTGCAGACGATGGTGCTCACCACCTGAGCCCTTAGGTCTTCCTTCTCCACTACCTCTTGCCCTGAAATGTCCTGGACCAGCTCATCAAGCTGCAGATGGCAGACAGGGAGAGACCAAGGATTCTTGACCTTTTTCCTGTCCACAGTAGAAGCAAGTGTGTAGGAGCTGCCTGGGGTTGGGGTGGGGGTTGGATTCATTAGTGGAGATGCAAAGTGTGACTGTGAAATCTTATTTCTAAACTTAAAATAATTGAACTTCTCTTGAATTCTGTAAAAAACTAAGTGGAAGATTCTGCCTTTCTGAAGTGATTTATTTTCCTCTTTATGATAAAAATAATTCAGATCAGTATTATCAAGGGGAACTGTCTCCTGTGAAGGAAGTTATAAGGATTCTGAGGGGAGCCCCAAGCCCTGCTGGAGGACACTGGGCAGGGACATCCAGCTCTACTTGGGGAATTCCAGGAAGTCTATGTGAGCTGAGGGCTCAGGCTAAGTGGGTGGCAGGTGGAAAGGCTCAGAAGGAGGGACAGTGGAGCACGCATATCCTCAAACAGAAAGACACTCAGGATGAGTCTGCAAGGAGGATGACATGGGTAGAGGGTGACCTACCCAGGCAGCCCAGTGGGTTCTGAGATCATCAGAACATCAATGCAGGTGTCCACCAGGTGACAGGATCTATAGCTTGGGGCCTTGGAGAGATCCACGTTAGCCACCGAGATGGTCACCAATTCTGGGGAACTGGGAGGTTCTGCAGGGAAAGCCCTACAGAATGGCAATACTTTGAGAAGCTACAAGGACAGAGGAGGGGATGGGACATGAGGACTTGTAGGAGGGTTGTGAGCCAGTAGTTTTTGGACTCCGGTGGGGCATCCCGGGCTTAGCCCACCCCGGGAGTTTCTGAGTCGGTAGCTGGGAAGGGGATCCTGCTGAGAATTTGTGTTCCTACCTAAGCTCTAGCTCCTGCTCCTGCAGGGCTGCTTTCCCAGGGACACCCTGGGAACTTGAGTAGCTCACTCTTGTGAGACGCTTGGCCAGGAGGAGAGAAGGTAGGAGATAGTTAGGAGGATTGTTGGCCTGGGGCGTGAGGGCTTACCAAGGGGCTTTGGAAGGGCCTGCGGGCTGGGAGCAGCTGAGCCAAGGTTGGGGAGGGAAGTCCACAGAGGGGCAAGGAGAGGGAGGCTGACCCAGCCTCAGATGGTCAGCTCTGCCCTGTAACCAGCAGAGGCACCAGGCAGGGCCATCCATGGGCCTGGAGACCCCAACAAGCCCAGAGGTGTGTGATTCTCCACAGCTGCCTTGGGCAGAAGAAGGAGCTCTGCTGTCACCCTTCCACCTGCTGCTAATTGCCATCACAGAAATTTAGCTCCATTCTGGGGACCAGCTCTGGCCCGCCTCTCTGTCCTCCCTTTTGTGAGGTGTCATTCCCATTTCCAGAACACAGAATGCCATGGAAGGATGAGTGATTTGGGCCCACTACCTTGTGGGGAGCAGCCGGACTTCTCAGAGCCCTTTGCTTCCCAGTCCTGATGGTGAGAACCCCCCAACAGTTGTCCTTATCATGGGAATGGGGAACACCCCCTCCAGCCCATCAAAGACCCTAGATGGTGGAAAGGGGCCTCCGGATTTGCGTGTGACATTGGATCCACCCTACACTTGCACACCCCAAGGATACTGATGAGTGTTTTATCTCTGGTTTACTCTTTTCTTCTGGAACATGGAATACAGATCTTCCTTGACTTATGATAGGGTTACAAACAGAGATACCCCTTGTAATTTGAAAATACCCTTAATACCTGTAACCTACCAACCATCATAGCTTAGCCCAGCCCACCTGAAATGCACTGATAAGGCCTGTCTCACATTGTGTCGGCTCAGAAACCACCAGCTTACACGGCCTTCCGCAAATGTGATCTGCGGAAGAAGTGCGGGTCTGCATGGCCTTTCTCTGGGCCGGCCCCTCTGGGCGGGGGAGGAGCTGGTGATTGAAGAGCCACCTCCATTCTCCTCTCACTGGGCCTGTCCTCTTTGACCCCATGGTCTGGCAGCAATTTTCAATCCCACAGACACCTCTGGGAGTCTGGAAGCCAATAAAAACCGATTCCCCTCCATAGAGGGAAGGCTGCATGGCCAGCTGCCCCTTCCCCCAGGGCAGCCCTCCCACCTGCAGACAGCAAGGAACCACCCCCCCTTTCCAGCACCATCCTTTCTCCCAGGGGGAGAGAGAGGTTAATTACTTCCCCTCGTGGACAAATGGCATGTAAATTGCCTATCAGGGCTCATCTGGGTAGAGAGAGGAAGACAGAAGATGGAAAAGCAGGACATGTGTTGTGAGAGGTCTGTACAGGGGCAGGAGGCCACTCATTTGGGGGAGATTTTTAATACAGGAAGAAAAAACACCCCTTGACCAAGCACACTTACGTTGACCCATTCACTCTCCCAGACTGGAGACTTCATTTGTGATGACCTTCTCTTTCCCTTGGCTCAAGACCATAACTGTAGGGCGGGATCAAAAGTGGTGCATTCTTTTCTATAACAAGAAAGTTCCTGAGAATTTGCCAGTTTGATCTTTCTATAGGGATGACAGGCTTACATTCCAGGGACCACAGAAGACTGTGCCATGTTCTGTGGGATACAGAACCGCGAACAGAGCAGAGTCCCTTCCTTACGGAACTAGCAGTCTGGTGTAGTGACAAGAAGGACTCCAAGAAATCTCTCTGGGGCTTCCAGGGAGGAACCAACCTTGGCAGTTTGAGTGGGATTGGGTGTATGAACAACGGGGAAGCTCATCAAGAGACAGCCTGGGCAGAGACCGTGGTGGGACAGTGTGGAGCCTGGCTGGGGAGCTTGAGATAATGAAGGAGGTTCACGGAAATAATTTGGGTATAGATTTTATGACCTTGGATGTTAGACTACAGCAGTGCCTTTGAAGAGTTCGGCGTTTGGAGTTGACATGATCCAGCAGTACTTCAAGAATTTTAATTTCCTGGCCATCTGGCAGGCAGGAGGGAAACCTGAGGTAGGAGACTAGAAATTGTGAGAAAGGCAGTGGACATGGCCAAGGTGCGGCCAACCACAAGTCCTAAAGGTTAGAATTTGTAATTTCAAATGAAATCACCTTTACATTTAAAAATCTGGGTAGCACAGCTGCTTCAAAGATTGCCGTGGGACCCTAACCTAAGATCTTAATTCACATTTTCTGTGATTGCAGACAATTGCCTCCAAAGAAAATCTGATATTTGCTGGTTGACCCACCCCGGGGGTAGGAAATTTACTGCAGAAATAGGGCAGAATTTCCATGTGGGGGTCTGAGCCACCGAGCTTCCTAAAAGAAAGGGAGATTTGGCTTATTTGTTCAATGCCAATGGACTTTTTTTATTTTTATTTTTATTTTTGGGGGGAGAGAACACATGCATGTGTGCATGAGAGCAGGGGAGTAGGGGAGAGGAAGAGAATCTCAAGCAGGCACTGTGCCCAGTGTGGAGCCCAGAGTGGGGCTCAATTTCACAACCCTGAGATCCCGACCTGAGCCCAAATCAAGAGTCAGACCCTTAACGGACTGAGCCACTAAGGCGCCTCCCAACGGACTTTTTGATGAAAACAACTGGTCAGTATAGTGCGTCTGGGTACAAGCAAAGGCAGCCTCTGAGTGTCCCACGTGAGGCCATAGGCACAGCCTCACCTCTCAGTGGCCCTCTCCTACAAGAGCTATTATAAGCCTTTATTCCTAAACTCAGATTTCAACTTAAATTATGCCTTCTCCTGCCTTCTCTGCTGCCTTTATATTTAATAGAAAATGCCGTGCAGACCTCACAGCTATTCCGTCCCCAGCTTTTGGGAGGCAAGGTGGCCTTGGCCGTCAGGGAGGGCCAAATTCAAATTAAACCCTTGACACCCCGCTTATGGGATGTGATAGATACGCTGCCAGGAGCTGTCTCGTCTCAAAACCAGATTTGACCGGGAGCCAGAGGGAAGCCAGCACCGCGGCTGCGAAATATGAAATGAATCCAATTTCCTCCTGACCTTGTCCCACTGTGCCTTTTATTTCTCTTGTTTTATTTATATTTCTTTATTACTAGAAGCTCTTCTTCAGGCCTTGAGTGTCCGAGTGGCCACCCATGCCTGCAAAAAAAAAAAAAAAAAAAAAAAAGTGTTTGAAGAGTCAGGAAGAGTATTGGAAGGGAATGAACCTTGAGGCCGTTGTTCTTTTTTGTGTGATTTAGCGGAATATTCTGGACAGAGATTTCCAACATCAGTTTGTAGGCAGATAATAGCAATTTCAGTGAAAAAGCAGGTGAGCGTTGGTGGCCATGGGACTCTCCCTCCCCCGGTTCCCTCCCCCGCGGGGACGGGTGCGCTGAGGAAGGAACATAGCGTGTGCGGTATTACACGGAAGCGGGATCAAAGGGAACGGTTAGGCGGCCCTGGGTCTTCACCACAGGTGCTGTTCTTGCCCCCCAAACCCGGTCACGGGTCCCCGGCATGGGCATGCCTCCCCCGCTTTGTGTTGGTGGGAGGGCTGCCGGCCAGCACCTGCCACAGCTCCAGCCTGGTGGAAAGACTAGATGAAGACGAGCAGCTGTCTGATTGAAGTGGCGGGAGACAAGGGAGGCAGGGATGTAATTACCTGAGCTGTAATGGGACCAAGCCGCAGGGGCCCACCTCATCTTCCCGGGCCTCCCCCAGAGCTCATTATTTGCAAGCGGGTCCCCAGAGCCATACTGAAATAACACAAGGATGCAGAAATTGCTTTTGGAGATCGCACACGGGCACACGCGTGCGGTGTTCATGACATTCAGGCATGTGGCCTGTGTGGGGCCCTTGTCCTGTAAAAGGAGCAATGGAACAGATGTGGTCACCCGGGGTGAGAACCCAGTGTGCGAGCAGAGGATGGGCAGGTGAAGTCAGGGCCAGAAAGCAGAGATGACCCATCCCCCACCAACAGAGGAGGTCTGGTCTTCCCAGAACACTACCCCCCACCCAGTACTCCCCAAGGCCTTTCTGGGCAGAATGATCTGTTCAAGAAGAAATCTGCAGGAGCATGACAACTTCCAAACATGATGCAGTCCTCACGGCCACCCCCTCCACCAGGACTGGACAGTGTGCCCGGAACCATGGGGCCCATGTTCAACCAAGCACATGGCCTAAGTGGACCTGGGCTCTGAGCTAGAGCTCAGGCAGGGCAGGCAGCCTTGGGAGCAACCTCTGGCTTCCATCTGCAGAAGGCAAAAGGGGAGGGAGCTGATGCAAACTCTGGGGGAGTCTGGGTGCTCACGGAGGTCAGGATTGTTTCTTAAAAATCCACCCTGTATGCAAGCTGTGCTGGCCCAAAGCATGACGGGTCTCACGATGTCTGTCCCCCGGGGCTTTATTCTTCCTGCTGGGGAAGCAGGGAGGAGAGCAGTTGGGAGGGAGCGGTTAGAAGCGAGGCCAGGGGCTGTCCTACCTCCTACAGTGACTCTGGAGGACCCTGTGTGGCCTTGATCATTTCCCAACAGTGCCCCCAGAAGTGGAAGATGAGTGGGCTCAGGGTGGCTGGCACCTGGCCCCGGTTGGGCTCTCGGTAAGACCTGGGCACTTGGCTTTCAGAAGGTCAGAGAGACGGGCTCTGGCCTTGGCAGTGATCCTTTGGCCTTGGCATCCTCACAGCCTGACTCCATAAATTTAGAGGAGAAAAGCAGAAATGTACGTATATGTCTTCTAGAAGATGAGCTCTGAAGTCAACCTCGGTTTCTGGGGCCTCTTGCAATGTCCCATCTGATGCCTCATTTCTTGCCGTAGCTTACAAGTGTGGATCAGCAGGTGACCGAGTCCAGCCCCCGGGACCCAGATACCACTGATGGCTTCAGCACACAAGGTAATTTTAACCTTTTTCAGCATTTGAAGTAAGTGTATATTTTTCAAAGCATGTCCCCTTTCCTCAACCTCCTATTTCTCTCTCCTTCCTGCTCCTGCCCTCCCTCCATTGCTTACTTGTTAAGGGGTTGGAATTTGCTACAGGCTTTGCTGTTCAGTACCATGTATGTTCTCCAAAGCTCCCCCCTTAGCCACATGCAGTAATAAGTAAGTCAGTACACCTGGGGGGCCTCATGCTCTTTCTGGGGGGACTTGCCCCCTCTCCCCCAGCACCTTTCTCCTCCACTTGAGGGATATGGGTTTGAAGAGAAGCTTGACTTGATCTGGGATGGACCCTTTCTGGAGCTAAAACCATAGCAGGCTCTTGTCTACAGGGTTCCTCCATCAGGAGGGAGCCAGGCCTGGGCCCCTGGGCCCACTGGCTTTGGCGGGAGAGGCTGGGGGAAGGATGCTGGAAGTTGTATCCTAGTGGACATTGAAGGAAAAATGCGGAAGGTCATCTCTCAGATGTGAGGTGGGAGCCGCTGTCTGAAGCCAGAGGCAGGGAGGTCGTCTGAGGTGTCAGGAAAGCAGACAACCCCTGGTTGCACAGGGAGCAAATGGGCAGGGGCTGGGCCCTCAGGTGGGCTCAGATGAATGGGTTTATTCAGAGATGGAAGTCTATTTCCCCATTCCAACCACATCACTCCCAAAAATGCAAATTCTGGAGGAAAGCATGGTAGGGAAGGCCAAGCAGCCTAGTCGTTCCCAGAGCCCAGGGCAGGTAGAGATGGACAGAAGGGTCAGGAACTTATCCGAGCAGGGCCTTCCTCACTGTCCAGGATCTGAGCAGTTAACTGGGCTCCACTGGGAAGCTCAGGGCTGCCTCCAACACTGACTCCCGGCCCAGAGGCCAGGCCTGGAAGTGGGCAGGATTATATGGAGAAGAACGGACAGACACACTCATGGGACAGCAGGCCAAGCTGGTTTCACTTTGGAAAAGATGCCTCCTGCCGAGTAGTTTCTGGGTGGGGTGAGGTTGCGGTCCATGTCATTTTTTTGGCCTATGTATATCCAGCTGCTCCAGATCATTTGTTGCCTGGGTACCTTTGTCAAAAGTCAGCCCGGCAGAATGGCGTGGGGGTATTTCCGGGCCCTGTATTCTGTTCTCTTCATCTGTGCATCAGTTCGTCTGCTCTGATGATTGGGCACTCTGCGGGAAGCATTCCCATCGGGAGCCACACCTCCACTCTGCTCCACTTCGTCAGGATTGTTCTAGGTCCTAGTCTAGGGCCTGTGTGTTTCCATATCCCTTTTATAACCCACTTGTCTGTGTCCACAAAAAATTCGAACTGGGAATTGAGCAGAAATGGCATTAAGCCCGCAGAGCAACTGGGGTAGAATTGTTATGTTTGCAAATCTGAGCCTTCTACCCCGTCTGTCTCCCCGTGGATTTGGGTCTTCTTTGACTTGGGTTTCTGCACACTCGTTGTTAGTACACGTGACCAATGGCAGTACAGACGTCATTCATTCTTGTGTTTTCATTTGGTCTCCTGCAACCTTGCCGGACTCATGTAAGAGCTCTAGAATTTTGGGGGTGCAGGTGCCTGGAAGGGGGTAGATGCTGGAATTATTTTTCACTTACTGAAATAAAATAATAATGAGGACATGGAGGCTGGCAAGGCCAGAGGGAAGCTGTTTCACCCAGCCCTGATGGGCAGCTTGCAAATCAACCCACTCCTTTTGGCAAAGCATCTTGATAAAGAGCCATAAAAATGTTTATGCCCTTAGATGTGGTGATCACACTTCTGGAACTGCCCTAGGGGAATAATGAAAAAAAAAAAAAAAGAAAAAAAAAAAAGAAAGAAAAAAGAAAAGAGAACCGTACCCATAAAGATCACTTGCATTTTTCATAAGAGTAAAAACTTACAGGGATAATGATGTCCATTGATAAGAGTCAAGGAAAATATGATACGTACATTAAATATGTCATTTTACATTAATTAGGAAAAATGCTTGTGATCCATTAGGTGAAAAGCTGGAAGCTGGGACGAGTGGTACTCTGTAAACAGGCTAACAACACAAGCTGGTGAGCGGGGACAAGAATGTCTTGACCTATGAGCTTTCCTGGTCATGTTACCCTAATTCTGTGTTTCTGTTAAGGACAACTGTTTGGAACTAAGTCACATTTCCCTCTCTGACTCTGTTTCCCTAAAGAACTCAGCCATTGGATTCTCCCTGACATTAAGAAAATCGGGATCAAGGATATGCTTATGTCCAATCTCATCAAATATTGCATATTAAAATTGCACGGGGTTTTATTTATCAGTTATACCATAATAAAGCTGTAAAAAAAGAGAGAAAACGGAGATCAAGAGGAATCAGCAGGGATGAACACGATTCAGAATATTTCTAGTATGCCGCTTTGTGATTTAATACAGTTAATAATGCCACTTGCTGGTTTGAGGTCTTCTAAGGATACAGAGAAGTGGATACATTCATGGATACATTCAGCTTTGAGTGGTTGCCCAACCAGTCCCTTAGAATCAGTTCCTACTAGTGAACTTGCGGAGTCCAAGGAAATAGGTATTTTAGGTTTTGGTGTGTTGGCCACATGGCGTTCTGGAAGGGTTTTACTGCTAGCGTCCCTACCCACAAAAGCTGTTTATGACACCCCAAGACATCATCATTCCTGATGATCCTTATCACCCCTGGAGGTGACCAATACACGCACAAGACAGGGTGTGAGCACCTTCTTACGTGTTTGTTACCTACTTATAGGTCAGCTTGGGGTCCACTTTTTTGCAGTGTTTTGTGGGTTATTTTTTAAAATAAATTTGTCAGAAAAATATTTGTTAAATGGAGACATTTTTCTCCCTTTTGCTGTTCATTGCAGAGACACCTTCCCAGTTTGTGCTCAGCTTCCTCCCTGTTAATGATGCCTTTTGCCATACAATTTTTACAATTTTTTTAACGATTTTTCTTATTGTCAGATTTATCAAGCTTTTCCTTTCTGTTATCTATCATGTTTACAAAGTCTTTCTTCACTCCGAGGTTTTAGATTTATTCTCCTGTATTTTCTACCACTATTCTTCTAGTATCTTAAAAAAGAAAATGATTGGGAAAAAAGAAAAAGAAAAAGATTCAGGCTCCTGGCTGGCTTAGTCGGTTGGATGTCAGACTCTTGATTTCAGCTCAGGTCATGATCTCAGTGTCGGGAGATCGAGCCCTGAGTTGGGCTGTGCCCTGGGCATGGAACCTGCCTAAGATCCTCTCTCTCCCTGTCCCTCTGCCCCTCCCCATGCCTCCTCCGTCTCTAGAAAAAATACAAAATAGAAAGATTAATAATCCTGAAGATTTTTTTTTTTCTAGGATTTGAGAGTTTCAGTTCATCCTTCTGTTTTTCCAGATGGACTGCTAATTGTCTCAAAGCATCTATGGAGAGGGCAAGGTAGACAGCAGAGGGCTGGTGAAGCCAGAGTGCTCTAGAACGGGGCTGCTTCCAACCAGCTCCACCACCCCGTGACCTCGTGACCCTCTCCCTCCAAGGCCTCTCAGCTGTGTTTCCTGAGTGGTAGCCTGGGAGAGCCATGAGGATTAAGTGGGAGGTCACCGGGAAACCCAAGCTTGCAGATATGAGGGCCCTGGAAACTAAGAGGCCTCCCATAAGACCCACGGAAAGGAATGGAAGGGTCAGACCCCAAAGCTTCCCTCCCCCCACCCCGAGTTGTTTAGGCTGCTCTGACTCTTACAAAGGGTCCCCCGGGTGGGCTGCTCACCTCAAAAATCTGCGGAGCCTGATGGGTGAGGAGCCTCACGGAAGGCAGCTCTGACGTTGTCTGCTAATGGGATAAAAGAGCGGAGGGAGTACTGCTTCTCGAGCCTTAATAATGTGCACATAGGCTCCCTGAGCTCTTGTTAAGACAGTTTCTGATGCAGTCCCCCCCAGTGGCCGGTCTCAGAGTGGTGAGGGGCTGAGCCCCACCTGACCAGCATCGCGGGAATAGAGAGTGGGTTGCACACTTGCTTTGGGAGGCATCAGAATCCCCTGAGGGCTTGTTCAAACCCCAACGGCTGGGCCCATCCCAGAGTTTCTGATGCAGTGGGTCTGAACGTGGACACGTTCCCAGGCAGTGCTGCCGCTGCTGGCCTGGTCCACGCTTTGAGAACCAGGCAGGTCTCCCCACGCAGCTTCCCGCCTCTGCCTGACCAGGGCCAGGCTTGCACTCCAGGCCCTGGGCTGTACCCTCTGTGGGCAGCAGGCATGTTCTCAGGCACAGGAGGACCCGGCTAGGATGCCGTGCCGCCCCTCCCAGGCACGCCTCTTTCTGCATGGGGTGTGTGCTTCGAGCACACTGTGGCCTCCCCCTTCCTGGACGTCAGACCACCCCCCACGAAGCCATGCCCTGGATGGGAGATAGGGCTGGTTTCTGACTTTTAGTCTCTTGTGGAGTGTGAAGAGTATAAGTGCCCTGCATCCCACACCCCTTCTGGGATCATTTTTGGGAGATCGTCTGGTGTCCCCTCAAACTTTCCTATATCATAAAGCACTTGTAAACCTGCTCTGTGTTTCCACGCCCTTGGGATTACAGGTTTGTCTAGACTGGGCAGTGAAGGGCAGACGGCGCTGGCCTCCTGGGAGGGCTGCAGGAGGCTGAGACCTTTGCTCTCCAACAGGAGTGTGGGTGGGCACAGGGTCCGTCCTGGGTGGCGCGGTGGTGGCTCAGCACCGGTACTAACAGTGTTCCTTGCCTTGCAGAGCCTGCAGATAGCTCGAGCCTCCTGGCATCCGAGAGTGCCACTGCACCGGGCCTGAGCCCCGAAGGCCCTGTGGGTGCCTCGCAGCCCCTGCCACCTGGCCTCGAGTCCCCAGAGCGCCCTGGCCAAGGCACAAGGGCGGCGCCAGGTCCTGGGCATGTGGCCCGCTCCACCAGCGACCCCACTTCGTGCTCATCTGGTGTGACAGGTATGGCTAGTCCAGTCCCCTGGGTCCCCGGCATGTGCCCTGCTCTGCCCTGGACACTGCAGACCTCAGTGAGCTGAGAGTCAAGGCCAGGCCTTGGGACCTGTGCTCAGGGGCCACTTTGGGAAAGTGGCCTTAAGGACCGAGAGCCCTAGGGAGGTGCTGACAGTCAGGGGCCCCTGCTGAGCACCCACCAGGCTTTCTACTTTCTGGCTGGGGAGTAAGGGGAGGAGGGAGGGAAGGTGTGGGGTGATGAGAGCCCCCCCGGGGTCGGCTAGCCCCTGACAGTAGCTTGGCAGTTACACACCAGCTCTGGGGCCCAGGTGGGGATTCAGGTCAGGCAGGTGACCACAGGCTGTATCCCCCATCGGCCTTGGTGGCTCTCTACCCAGGACTAGTGTGGGCTCCAACTTGTGGGAAGTGCCAGTGCCTGCTCGTGGCCTGGTGGGACCCAGGGGCAAGGCTATTTACCAAGGGCAAGGCAAGGCTGTGCCTCAGGGGCAACAGTGGGTTGATGGGACCTCCCAGCCGGAGCCGCCCCAGGCAGACACAGGGTGTTTCCAATAGTATGTCACGGGCCCCCTTGGTAGCACTCCCTGTGTGGCCTGGACCTTGGGTCCAAACTGCCCCCACGTGACCCTGAAGAGGCGGCGCCCTCCCTGGGCTCTCTGACCTGGCATCAGAGTTGGTGGCCCAGCAGCCCAGGATTTGCATTTCACACCAACCTCCCAGGGGCCCTAAGTAAACCCTGAAGCCTGAGAACCCACACTTCCTCCCACAGTGCTTGCCTTGAGCGGGAGTGGGGGAGGGGGAGGTCCGCGGCAGTGTCGTTGCAGGTAAAGTCGAGTGCAACTTAGGGCTGCAGGGCCCGCTGGGTGCCTGGACTCAGTGGTCTTGTCTGGCTGAACCTCAAATAGACAGGATCTGTGCCGCAGGAGAACTGTATCCCCAGAAGGAACCATAAACCCGCCAAGGTCATTGCCTACAAGGGGCCTCCTGGTGGAAATGCCAGATTTGCCCCTGCAGGCTCCTTGGCCCACATCCCTCTGTCTCGCTGCCCTCCCCTCCCACATCCGGCTGCCAGCTCACTAGGCAGGACTCCATCAGACCGCCCCCTCCCCCATGCATATGCCAGACTCAGCCCTTCTCTCCTCCCCATGAGGGCTGTTACCCATTCATGTCTGGGGCACGATCCCATGCACGTGTGGCCCCTGATGGCTTCCTCTGGCCTATCCCCGGTGCAGGGAAATCTGGGCTCTGCAAACCATGACATTTGGGGGGTGGGGATGAGGAGAAGTGGTGGTTTGATTACAAGTTGTCACGGGGCCTTCTCCGTGTCCCCACACCAGCCCCTCGGCGCACCCTCTCCTCAGCCAGCAAAGCAGTTACTGTCCCGCAGGTGAAAAGCACGTGTGTCGGTGAGTCCTGCATCAAAAAGATAGTTCTCGGCCACAGGAGAGTGATGCTCCTGTCCTCAGGAGCTCTCCTTTTCCCCTGCCACCTGTTAACTGAATTCTTTCTCTGATCAAGGCACTGCCTCTTCACACACCCCATCCTGCAGCCAGGACCTGGAAGCAGGACTGTCCGGGGCTGCTCCGGGGACCGGTGAGACACTCCTTTTCTGAAGCACTTTGACACCTACTGCGAGATGGGGGGAGAGGGGGCGGGGCGGGACTCCCGGTGCTTGGCTGCCTTTGTCTGAGACCTGGCCTCACAGTGTTGGCCAGAAGCACGGGTCTTGGGCGCTGAGGGCTTTGAAAGAACGGCCTTGCCTCCCCTGCTGTCTCCAGAGAATGTGTTAGAAGCTACAGCTGCTGTACCAGGCCCGTGGCTGCTGGCTTCACCGCATTTGTGAGATGCTCTTCGGAGGGGAGAGGCACCTCATGTGTGAGGTCTTTACAGCCCCTCATGCCTCGTGGTCAGGCTTGCCCCTCCACCACCAAAAATATGGCAGCCCACTCAGAATGTGTTTCTTCTGCGTGACTTGAAACATGCTGTGGACAGGTCAGGCCTTAACCTGGTCCTTGGGGTGACAGTCCCAGGAGACCGCCTGGAGCTGGCTTTCTCTGCAGGCACCGTCAGACCATGGCTTGACCCTTGGGTTATCCAGAGCAGCCGTGGGCCCTGTTGGGAGCTAGTGCTGTTGCCCCTGGCCTTGGCCGGGTGGGTACTGGGAGCAGGGTCTGCGTGCTTTGAGCTCTGGTTCCAGTGAGAGGTGGCAGCTGTCACCCTTTGACTTGGTGGCAGTGTGGTGCTCTCATTGCCCCTCTGTCACCCCCAGCTCTGTTCTTCAGGCAAACCCCTCCCTAGATGCCATCAGACCCACAAGGGCAAAGGTCATTGAGCCAAAGAAGGCTGAGAAGGGCCAGCCCCCTGTGAGCGCAGGAATTCTAGCAGAGAGACAAAGGCCAGGGGGACCCCTACCTGCACTGGCCCCCCTCTCCCCTCCCGCTTTGCATCTTGCCCCCACCCCATCTCCAGCCCCTCAGCTCCAGGGAGCTGTGGCCCCTCTAGGTTAACCCCAGCTCAACTCAGGGCTGAGAGCGGCCACAGTGGGGATGAAGAGACACAGGAAATGGGGACGTGGAAATTCCAGCCAAAAGCATGTCCCAAGCAGGCTCACATTTGCTTTGTCAAGAACTCATTTAACAGCTGCCTTTTGTTTTGGTTGTTTTCAGATATTATCTTTTCCCTTGATTTCTAGTTTCCCGAGCTCACTCTGTCACGGCTGCCTGTGCGGGGCAGCACCCGCTCTCGCCCCCTGGGCCACGGGACACCTGGAAAACAGACCCACGGGGAAAGCCAGAGGCCTTACATACGGTCTTCAAAGAGCGGCCACATTCTTTAGTGGACAGCAAGGCCCACGCAGATGCCAGGGTTTTGGTGGCTAAGTTTTTGGAACACTCGAACTGTGCCCTCCCTCCTGAGGTGCAGCACGTGGTGGGCACCCTGGGCACGGTGGTCCCTGCTGAGGAGGCCCACATGGAGGAGGCCGTGGTCAGTGCTGGCGTTCTGGACCAGGTGTGACCAGCCCACGGGTCCTGACAGGGCCACAGACGGGCCTGGACTCACCGTCCTTGCTGGAGGTCACTGTGCTCTGTGGAGAGGGGCCTGTGGCCCAGGAGAATCTCGGGGTGGCCCAGGCGGGGAACTGCTGTCCCTCTCTTCAGGAGGATCTGGTCTGTCATTGTCTTGGGGAGGACCCTTCCTACCTGTTCCACTAATACAGAAAAATGACTCTCGTGGCCACCATGAACTCTTTGGTTTTTTCAGGCATGGAGCACCTAAGCAGTGTTCTGAGAATCCAGTGACAGGGACACCAGAGACTCTAAGTGTCTTCAGAGTCAGGGCCGTCACAAAGCAAGACTCTGCCCACCTCTGAGTCAGCTGAGTGTTGAGCAGGTAGAGGATATCAAGTAAAATGAGACCATTTTCTTCTATGGTGTGTATCAGTAATCTACCTTTGTCATATGCTGACTGAAAGAAAATGGGTAATTCTGACACAGATGACAGCCAGGGCCCCAGCTCTCCGCCCACAGGAGGCAGGGCTGTCGTGTGTGCGAATCACAATAGGGGACCTCCGTGTGGCCTGGCCATCTCCAGGACACAAGCTGGTGTGGCAGGGACCTTTGCTGGACACCACACCCCACATGGTCACCAGTCTCCCGGACTTCCCCTCTCCACCCTCCCTCCCTGGGACACCCTCCCCGCTGTCTCTCAGGCTGTCTACTCTCTCCTCCTCTGCAGACACTGCTGGTGAGCCCCTTTGGAGGTTCTCCCTGTGTCTGCTCTCCCCAAGACGGCCTGGACGAGTGGAGGTCTGGGGGAAGAGGCCTGGACCCTGGGACCTGTGCACCTCCTCAGAAAGTGGGTTGCTGCACCCAGAGCATTCCCCTCCCAGCCAGCCGGGCAGCTGGGCATCTGCGTGGGAAGACGCAGGCTATAAATCATTTCTTTCCAGACAACACCCACTGTGTTGGGTATGTGGAAGGGGGCAGGCCCAGACCCTCTGTAGTGGCAGCTTGGGCATTTTGCCTTTCTTGGTTCCCCTCTCCACCCTCCCCCTCCATGTTCTGGCAACACTAAACAGCAGCCACTTCCCACCACGGCCCTGGAGCAGCACGGTCCTCAAGAACTTTCTGCAGCTGTGGGAACACCTGTCCCTGTGCCATCCACAACAGTGGCCACCAGCACCCATGCCATGGCCCTGCCACAAACAAGGCAGCCCACAAACCACAGTTCTCAAGCGAGAGCCCAAGGGCCTGGCATGGGGAGCACAAGGGGAAGATTTGATGGTTGCCCACTATTGCTGGGCGTCCGGCCATCTGGGGGCTGTGTGCTGCCCTTCCCTCTGCCCTGCGTCCCACCTGTAGTGTTGGGGATGCGTCTGTGTGGTTGGAGGCTGAGCAGGGGCTGGCAGGGAAGCTCTGCGGCCCAGACGCCGGCAGTCCAGGGAGCCTGCAGTGATGGTCCGCATTCTTGGTCGTTGCCTCCCTCGCATCTGGGTGACGTGTGACAGCTGGAAGGATCCTCCTCCTTCTAATGCCAACAGGGACTCTTCCACCGACGAACCCCAGAGGTGAATTATGAGCACTTTATTCAGACTACAAAATGGGGAATCTCTCCTCTCGTTTTTCTCAGCTGAGGGCTTTTGAAGTACCCCCCTCAGAGCGGATCCCTTTGCAGGTCCAGTTAGTTGATGGTTTTCCCAAGTAGCCTCTCCTGCGCCCATCAGCACAGCATTCGTGGCTTCTGAATCCGGGCATTTTCAGTGTCTCTGGGGTGTGGCTTGACCATCAGTCCTTTCATTGTATGGGTGGCCAGGGTGAGTGACCACTGGGAGCCCACCCTGGCGGTCAGTGTCCTTTGTTTCTCCTCCCTGCAGTGGGACAGTGTTTCTTCGGCTGTCGTGGGCACCTCCAGCAGCCTGAGCCTCCACGTGGGTACCTGCGGGAGCTCTGGCCAAAGCCCAGAGTCCCGGATGTTCTCAAGGGCCCTGCCCTTCCTGCACCCTTCCACGCTCAGTTGCATATTTGCTCTCAGAACAACTCTATCTCGCAGTTGAGGAGATTGTACCCAGTTTTGTACCACTGAGCTAGAACCTTCTGCCCATCTGCTCGGGGCCCAGGCAGCCCATGTGGGCTCCAGCAGGGCCCAGGATCCTGGCTTCCCTGAAAGGTCCCAGGAAGAGAGAAGCACCAGTTAGAACCCCTAGGAACAAGCCAGCTCTAGTACCTGGGACCCTACTCTGCTCAGCGGAGCTCAGCAGCAAACACCGCAAGTCCAGACCATATGGGCGCATGACCGAAGGAAAGCGGGTTTCCCTTGCCGGTGCACTGCCTCCCCCCTCTCCTCCTGATAAAGCATCAGCAGGCTAGGGCAGAGCCCCACGGGCTGCACCAGGAAGCTAAGGCATGGGTCCCCCACCTGCAGGGAACCCCCACCTGCAGAAGTCTGGGTCCTGGACACTCTCCCGGACTTTTCCCACAGCCCAAATGGGGTCAGCTGGCGTGGGAGCCAGAGCCTGTCCAGACACTGCCATTTGCCTGTGCGCATGGGGGAATGGCAAAAGAATGCTGAGGTGGGTGAGCTCTGGACCCCATCTCATAGCGAACAGCGGGGGGGATTCATCCTTCACAAGAACCTAAGCTCTCCTTCCGCTGGTGACAACAATGCCAATTGAATGCTTGTAACAAACCATGTCACAGAAAGCTTCTTTCAAATGGATGTGTTTCCCACCCCCGCTCCTCAGCTCTATTGATTCACAGATGCTGCTATTAGGCAGAATTTATAGGAAATTGTTTTCAAGCCACAGGAGACCTGTTTGTACAACTGGAAGGTTGTATTTATTTAATGTACCTCAAGGTGTTTTCATAATGATCCGTGTTTTAATAAATACTATTTCTGGCCTCTGTGTCTCCGGGTCTAATTGGGACAGAGAGGCAGAGAGCCCATGTGCCTCTGAAGACCAGGAGCTCGAGCGGCCTGCGGGGAGCATGAGGCCCCCGCGGCCACCCAAGCGTGTCTCCCAGCATCCTTCCAGAAAAGGGCAGGTCCTAGGGGCTGAGAGGTGGAGGGCAGGTGCCCGCCTGTGCTGGCCCACAGCTGCGCCTCCACACATGTGACATCCGTCGGAGACTTCCCAGAAGGATGCAGGCCACTGGCTCCAAGGGCTCTTTCATTTGGATTTTTTTATGTGAATTATTTGGTGGGACTCCCACCTCCATCCCCACCGCTGCGTCATTTGCTAGCCACGGCTTTCGTCTCCGGAGCCTGTTCCCTGCAAGGCAGGGGCATACGCCTTGGCTCACCTGAGTGGGGGGGCCCTTTCCCTCCAGCTATCATTCACGTGACATTCCCTCTCATCACTCAAGGGCGAGGGCGAGGGTGAAGGGCCTGGTCAGTAGCTCACAGTGCAGAGAGCAAATGACTTGTGGGAGGACCCGCGGTGGGTCCTACCAGGCCAAGCTCCCCAGAACAATGTGGGGGGCGCGGGGAGAACCCCAACCCTGGCCTTCTGATCAAAGCCCGTGTTCACCCCTGCTTCTCTCCGGCAGGTGACAGGCCACAAAGGACCCTCCAGGTAAGCAGATGCCACTAGGACGGATAGTCCCACTTTGTTTCATAGATTCATACACATACGACTCAGCTCTCCAGGAATCATGGAGTTTTAAACTAGGAGAATGACAAGGCTCCTTTTCTCCCTTAGGCAGTTAGCAGCCTGTCTGCTCCCTGGGGATGGGGGCGGGGAGGCTGACACCAGGTGCCTGGAGCACCCACCCCCACACCTCCCCAGAAAGAGCCCCCCCCCCCCCCCCCCCCGCCGCAACACCAGACCCGGAGGGGATGCCATCAGCAAACAGGGCACCATCCCAGAGGCACTGTGTGAGCGACCTAGGTGAGGGGAAATCTGGCATCTGCTCCTGCATTAACAAACCAGCCACACAAACTGCTTTGGTCATGACTTGAGCTTTATTAGTGATATTAGCGAGTCTTCCTAGGGTCGGCTGCATGCAACACACAGGTCACTCCTTGAATACAGTAATCCTAAAGCTTTAGTTACTGCATGGTAAGGCTTCTTAAGTCACAGTGTATTCTCCGAGGCCGGGGCCAAAAAAAGAGACTTCCAGACAAAAGGACGTCGGTTAACAATGACCTCTAATGAACCGAACTAGACTACGTTTCACTTTATCTACACACGCTAATACTGCTCGCGGTGACGCCTGGCAGGCCCATGGATCCGCGCCGGCTGCCGGCCGCCCTGGGAGTGGCGGAATCGTCCAGAGAGGGTTTTGGCTTTTGGGGGTCGGGGAGCTGGCGTGTGGATGCGTGTGTGTAGACAGAGATCGGAAACTGAGGGCCTCCATGGTGTCCCTTGTCCCTGGGGGGAGGAGCCAGCGGGCCCCGCCCCGTGAGGGGGGCTGGAGGAAGAGGAGAGGCGGCTGGCAGGGGGGGGTGCCCTCTCAAGTCCACGGAGCCTCAGGGGAGGACAGGAGCAGCGGCTGCGATGGCAGGTCATCTGAGAACCCTCAGTTCCAAAGATCGGCTTCTCAAAGTAAAAGTCAACACCGTGACATTGTCTAAATAAATATGGAGTTTCGATGTTGTAGCCATCATCATTTATTGAACTCAGGAACGTCTCCCCTCTGGTTCAATACAATCACATGTTCCCGGACCTCACTTACAAGTCACACCCCGGGAGCCGGGCTGCAGCAGGGCGCCCTCCCCCGAAGCACCCCAGGGCCCCCCGGAGGAGGGGGGCAGGAGGGGACGACCGCTGCTCCCCAGAGCTTGCTGTCCTCGCGGGGCTCCCTTCACGTCCGCTCTCCATGGCTTCAGGGAGGGAAGACATACTCCACACCACACACAGCTACAAAGAAACACCCTTGTCCGCTGGTCGCAACGAGAAAACGGGTCAGAATGGGCAAAACACGTGACTCTTGTACAGAGATTGCTTCCTGTGACTCTCCTTTGATGAAGACCTACCCCTTTTTGTCCAAAAAAAAAAAAAAAAAAAAAGTGGGTGGTGAGGGCAGGCCCTTCAGAGGAGCCAGTGTCCTTGGATGGGCTGTGGGGGTCAGGGGTCAGGTCCCGGGTCCAGCCTTTCCGGCTCCTCTGAACCCAGGCGGGCTGGGCGGTGCAGGCTGGGTGGGCCTAGATGTACAGCGGGGTCTCCTGGCCCGTGAGGAGCCTGAACATGGCGGCCGGCATGGTCTTCATGTGGATCTGTCAACGAGAGACAGGCTGAACCGGCTGGCCCACACTGGCCTCCCCCGGCCCCTTGATGCCATCAATAGAAAGCAAACACTGTGGCAACCAGCTCACTTCGGGACCCCCTGAGGCTTTTCTGCGCTAAGTACCAGCTCCCCGAGTGAAGGAGGAATGAGCATCTCCATGGAGATTCAGAAAGCGCGTCCTGACACGGTGGACTCTGAGCTGGCCTCCCCAGCTGGGTCTCCAGGGTGTCTGACACAGGTTAAAAAAGGGCTAGTTTTTTCCCTCAGCTGAAGCTGACAGCTGAGGGGCAAAAAATTGGACTTTTAACTGTGACTATGGTTTGCCCACTCAACCAGGGGTGCCCAGGCCTCTGAAGAGCTTCCAGGAAGCCTGGGAACGTGAGTGTTCTGGGGTCAGAGAACTTGCTCACGGAGGACCAGCGGCCTCGCTCTCGCCTTATCCTTCCAGGGTCAGTTAGCGAATGAGCCATCGGAGCCATCACTCTCTGGCACCAAGTAGCTGGGTAGCCAGGCATGGCTCAAGATAACTCCCCAGGGAGACTCAGCTTGTGGGACCTCCATCACCCCGCCCGCCCACCGTGATGGCTCTAGAAGGAAGAGTTAAACCAGTGGAAGCCCAGGAGCTGGGCTCTGCTTCTGCTGCTCTGCTCCCCTCTTAGTACCCTGTTCCCAGGTCTATGCCAGACTCAGGCCTTGCAGCTCTGGGACATCTGGATGGCCTGGGTGCTGCAGGCCTCACACCCCCGGTACCCAGCAAGAGCTAGCCAGTGGGGGCGGGGGCATGGTGTGGCCGCCCTAGGGCCGCCCCTCCTCCAGCAAGCGGGTCTCAGGCCCCCATCTGACCAACCCAGAGAGAGGCCAGCTGTGCAGGGAGTTTTCACAATGTCCTGTGCTCCCGGCCGGCCCCCACCACCAAGATCCATGTACTCAATTTAGATTTTAATGCCCCCATCACGCTCAGTATGGCTTCTTCCATCAGAACATTCTGTGTCGTTCCTCAATCTGAAAACCATCCAAAACCCCATGTCTTATTATCAGGGACTGATTTTGCACATGTGCTCAGGGATGCTGGGAGACAGCAGGCAGACACTTCCATCTCCCAGCCACACCCTCGGCTGCCTCTCTGCCTTTCTGGGTACCACTTCATCTCAGGTCCAAGTCTGAAGACTTGGAAACATTTCTCCCCTGCCCGACTGGTTTCTTCGTAGGCGTGTGAGACTGATCACCCCAGTGGGGCGGCCATTTCAAACATCCACTTAGGAAAATTGGATTTTCCTTTCTTTGAAGCCATTTGTAAAAGGAGGCAAATGATGCCTACCTGCCCCCGACCCCAACCTTGAAAGTCAGCCATCTACTACCACTGAACCCCGGGAAAACAGGCTTCTCCCTAAGCCTGGTAGTTTTACAAAATACAGGGTAGGAACAAAGGAAATGTGGCCAAAAGGCCCTCAGAAACAGCACCCACCTACTCACCCAGGGGCCAAGCTCTCCATCTCTCTCCCCCTCCCCCCTCCACTGCCGTGGCCACCAAGATGGAAGCCACACCCTCTTCCCCACCGCCACCTGGGAATCACAGCGCTGAGAATCAAATGTGAACTCCCACCCAACACCCAGGCCCTTTGTAACTGGTCCCTCTCCCCACCCACCTCTGCCATGGTCTTGGCCTCCCACGCTTCTCCCATGGAGACCCTCACCGCGTTTGTCCTGACTCTCCCCTTCGCATGCCCCCATTGCCACTAATACCCCCACACACTAGCCTCTGTGGGAGTCCTCCTTCTAGACACTGGTTGCACAGACTCAGCATCTTCTCATCCCCAATTACCCTGTTCACTTATGAGTTCTTGAGGAAACCTGGGCCCTTCCGCTCTGACCCTCATCCACCTCAAGCTGGCTGCCATAAAGAACTGGAAACGGAGAAAGTTTAAAGCCAGCGATGCAGGAAAGGGTGCAGTAGCCATGACTGGCCTGCTCCATGGGCAGGAGAATGGCAGGAAGCGGGCAGAGGGGCAAACCCTGGACCAGAGCCTTGTGCCCGGGAGGATAAGTCCCACAGAGGGCAGGGCTCCCGCATGGAGCATGGAAGACCCCATTCCAGAGCTGGTGTCAACCACCTTCGCCGTCCCATCCACAGCACAGAGCCGGAATGAACAGCCAAATGGTGCCTACCATCTGCTCAGCCTTGTCACAGGCGCACCCTGGGCGAGAGACACAGCCCCTGGCTCAGCAGATGCCCAGGGCCCCCTGCAGAGGGAGTGACTGGCAGAGGTCAAAGTGGGCACGCAGGACCAGCAGAGGCATGCTCCAAGTTCCCAGCAAGGACAGGCTCTCTTGAGAAGGAAGGTTCTCCTAGGAAGGGGTCAGTGGCTTGCCCGAGTACCTCCTGGAAACCCTCTCAGGGGCATAGATGTTGGTCACGGAAACGTAGGGCTCAGACGGCCCCAGCTCCGGCTCCGGCTCCAGCAAGGTGATGGGGCATGGCCTTACCTCTCCCACCGAGTTAGAGAGAGCCTGGACAATCTTCTCATGGGCCGTGGCCACCACACTCTGCCCGTTGATCTCGATGATGCGGTGGCCAACTCGGACGCCTCCTCGCTCTGCAATTCCCCCTCGCATGAGGCTGCAGATCTAAGCAGACACATGTCAAGTCAGCACACGAGTCCCTGCCACGCCCGCCAGGAGCTCACCGCCATCCCCAAACCGGAAGCGGGGACATTGAGCACGCAGAGGGAGAGGCCCACAGGACAAATGTTTCTGCGTGCCACTGCTGACTTACCGTAAGGGACATCTACGATTGGGACTAGGTTAAAACACACAAATCAACAGCATGGCCTGTGGGAGAACCTTGCAGGCCCTTGGGGGATCTGCCCCCCGCCGCTCCAGCCATCCCAGGGCCTCAGTTCCTGTGTCAGGGGAGTGTGGAGGGCTGGTGGTGTGTACAGTGGGAGCACATTCTGGAAGATTCCCCACCGGCTCCCTTCCGCTCCTCTTACAAGCTAAGAAGTCACTGTCTCCATCTCACAAGGAGGTGATGAATTCATGAGCCAACAAATGGAAAGAGTTTGGGGAAAGGACGAGGAAGGCTTTGAGCTTGTGAAATCCACCCATGTGTGGAATTCACTATCAGGCCATCAGAAGGGTGGATGCCTGCCTAGACAACGGGGAGATGGCAGCGGACCCCGGAGGGTGAGAGTTGTCGGCTCAGGGGAGAAGGGGGCCAGCTGCACCCCGATGCTGAAGTCCTGGGGATGCTGTGGTGGGAGGGAGCAGAGGAGACACCAGGTCCCTGAACCCCATGCTGCTTCCAACAACCCAAGGCAGGGGCAGAAGTAGGTCCAACAGCAGGGACCCTGGGGATGAGGTTTCCTGAGGGCCCACCCACTGCCGGAAGTCTCTTTCTGACCTGGGGTCCCTCGGCCAGCACTGGCCAGACCCCGGGTGCTCCCTCCCCAGCATTAGCGCAGCAGCCCCAGAGGGCTGCACCCCACCAGCCATGCTAGAGAATGAGGAAGGCCCAGCCCGGAGCCAGGCTGTCTGGACCCTGTCCCCTAGGTGCCCGGGGGCCACCCCATGTCATCTAGAGCCCCCACCAAATTCATGGTGAATTCGGCCTTGTCCTTATGGTTTCCTTAATTTGAAAGCACCACAATTACAGCCCCTGTCTCCTTGAGGATTTGGTCACTTTTAAGACATCTTCATACTTGAGGCAGCAGGGGACCCCAGCCCAGAATCAGGAAGGGTGATTCGGGTCAGCGCCCTAAGACATCAAAGGTCAGCCTGCCCGCAGGAGGCACAACCACGGGGGGTGTTCAAAGCAGGCAGGACAGCCAAGCCCTCTTTCTCTGCCTCACGGTTCTTCTCATTCCACGGCGAGGCTTGTCATTATCCAGGACTCTCCTCTGGGCCTCCTGGGGAACACCCTCCTGCCTGCATCCCTGGGACTCCGGCCTGTGTCACAGCCACCTCACATCCAACCCCTGGCCTGGCCTGCTCATTTAGCTAAGGCCTCTGATTTCCGAGGCTGCTGGGGGACAACGCTCCCCCTTAGACAGTACAGCTCTCCCTCCTCCTCTCCCTCCACCTTGGGACCTGGCATGGTAACGTTTGAAGCTGAGACAGACTCACAAGGCCACTGACCACAGGTTGACCCTGGCACCGTATGCAGGATTCCCATTTGTCCTCTGTTTTGCAGATTTTGCCTCATCACCGATGCCACAGGCCTTTCTCAACCAACCATCTGCGTCCTTCCCAGCCCTCGGGATTTCTGTCTTTCCAGTACAGGACATATGTGTAGTCTGAGGTCACAGGCCCAGCCGAGTGGACTCCTGCAGCAGAGCAGGCCACAGTCCCGGAACCTGAGCACTCAGGTCAGTTGGGGTCGACCAGGGGGCTGGCAGAGAGAGGGATGTAGTGTGGCCTGACTGCCTACTTCTCTGTACGAGAATTAGGGAGAATTCCATTCCTTGTCTCCCCGCCCCGAGACGATCTGAGGGCATTCTGTGCCCACTGAAACTGGCTCTTTTGAAAGTCCCAAGGAAGGTGTTTCATGGTGACCGAGCTCACTTCCCAGCCTGATCAAGTGTCAGGCAGGGCCCAGCGTGCTCCCCAGCAAAGAAGCTGGGACAGTCCGTGGATGCTGCAATCTTGGTTCTGTCCCTGCCAGCAGCCTCCTCCCTAGTCATGGAGATTCAGGGAAAGAAAGTGAGAAGAAGCAGGAGACAATGGCTTTGCACCTTTAGAAAGAATGGCCAGCCGGAATCAGGAGGGCAGGCAGGGGGAGAGGACAGAAGGGGGGCAGGACATGCTGAGGAGAAGGCCGTGTGCCCGCACACACACAGGTCCTGGCCTTCCTGAACGAGGCATGTCCACAGGAACCGAGGTGTGTTCCAACCTCATGGGGTGCACTTCTGCGGGGGAGAAGGCCGGTGTCTCCCAGCGGGAGACTTCCTGATGTCCTGAATGGTGGTGTGGAAAGAGAGAGGAAGGATCCGTTTAGAAATAGTGCTAACTGGGTCATCCAGGGCCTGTCTGCAAACTAATGCATTGTACATTGGGTGTAATGGAGCTGAAAATGGAAAAAGCACTTGTGCGAGACTAACTCAGATGTCAGCAAACTTTTCCGGAGGATTCGGGGGAACTTGGCTGTGTGGCACGTACTCGCCAGGAGGCACAGTGGTCCCTGCACTCTTAGTGAGAGGAGAGACTGGCGGGCCCAGCCCCGAAGCCGTAATCAGGGCCCAGCGGACACTTATGGGAGTCACTAACGCCGTAGCCTTCGATACAAATGTCTCAGTCTCTGAGCTGCTCACAAGGGCTGCTAAGACCATGCACACGCTCACCCACTGCCCCCGGCACCTCGCATCAGCGGGGACTATGGGCACACTCTTACAGCTGCTGGCCTCGGGCCTGATCCCTGCTCTGCCACTTCCCAGCTGGAAGCCTCAGGGCAAGTTCCTTGACCTCCCTATTCCTTCGTCCTCTGTGAAATGGTAACAGAAAATGCTGTTCCCTAACAGGACCAGCCTTGCAGACACCAACGGCCCAGGGATGCCCGAGGCTTGTGGGAAGAGCTGCATTTCCTGGTTGCTAGAACTGATGCATGGCCAGATGCCCCAGACAGATGGACCAGGAGGCCTAGGAGTATTTGCAACAGTGAAACTAGAACTGGAAAAACAGAAGTCCCACACACCCAAGTTACCGCAGCACAATTCACTCCCATGGGGCGGAGGGGCGGGGGTGGAGGCAACCCAGTGTCTACTGACAGACGCATGGAAAAGCGAAATGTGGTCTAGTCATCTATGAGAACACTACTCAGCCCTGAAAAGGAGTGAAAGTCTGACACAGGCTACAAGGTGGATGGGCCCTGAAGGCATTATGGTGGGAGTTAAAGAAGGCGGGTCCCCAAGGTCCCCACTTATGTCTACGAGGCACATAGTGCGGTCAAGTTCAGAGAGACAGAAGGTACAACGCTGGCTGTCAGAAGCTGGGCTTGGGAGAAAGGAACGGGAGTTGGCGTTTGATGGGCGCAGAGTTCCCCTTTCCCACAACGAAGACTTCTTGAGAGGGTTGTACAACGTACTGGACGCTTGGAAATGGTTAAGATGGTAAATGTTATGTTAATCGATTTTACCACAATTGAAACAAACAGAAGAAACAGATGTCCTAGGAGAGAGCTGGGGCTGAAGTGAGGGAGACCGATTCTAAAACCCAATACAGCTTCTTAGCCACATGGGGCCTCTCGTTCTAGAGAAAAGGCAGGCTGTGCCAAGTTCCAGAAGGCGGTCAGTGCCCAGGCTAGCACCTCTCCCAAACACACACACGTGTGCGTGCACACATGTACACAATATGTGCACATGCACATGCGTGTAAATGCACGCCTGTATGCAAACACATACGTATGTACATGCCGATAGCTGTGCAGAGGACCCCTCCCTCTCACGTGACAGCACCCAGACTCACGTGACAGCACCCAGACTTCCTGAGACGCCCCAGTGCTGGGACATCCTTCCTCTAACCACTTACCCTGCACGTTGGCATTGGCCACCTGCCATGGGAAAAGCTTCTGTAGTCATCAGGCAGAAAACCACAGGGGGTGTGTGCAGGAGCTGACTAATGCCATCTCCCAGTCAGGCATCCTGCCACCGTCCAGTCTTGCTGTGGTCAGGCAGGGTGGAGGTGGAGGGCATCCCGGGAGCCAGGACTCCAAGTGTACGGCTTGGTGAGGATCGAAGGGGACCTCTGAGAGCCTCATGGACAATGGGGACAGGGAGGCCACTGGTCATGAGAGACGTGCCAGCCAGGGGATAGCTCCACTGCAAGGCAGCAGGGGACTACAAGGGAGGGGACAGTGACCAGGCCAGGCCCCTGTGGGAAGGCTGGGTGGGCAGGAAGTCGAGGTCCACCCTGACCATGCTGTGAAGGGCAAAGCCAGCTCTTCTGTCCCTACAGCAAGCTCTTGAGAAGAGCCAGCACCCTCCGGCTTCCTGAATGTTCTCCCAAACACACTCCTCCCATGAGGCCCCCGCTGAGCGACCGAGCCTGTGGCCCTCGTCAGCCACCACAGATGAGGCGACATGGCCTGAGCGGTGGCTGTGGCAGCAGCTGCCTGGTACAAGGGCCTCTGAGTGCACAGGGAGCAGACCCTGGACAGCCAGCCCCCACACCCCACACCTGTCCATGGCACGGGCACGCCATGGAGCAGGCGCAGGAAGAGCCTGGGCACCGCTGACCGGAAGGCCACTGCTGCAGGGCCCAGTGGAGATGGGGGACTGATCTGTGCAGCCACCTGCCGCCCATTTTTTGGGTCACCGGGGGGCTGCCTCGTGGCAGGAGAGACCCTGCGGATTTGTTTGCTTTGCCTACAGCCCTCCCTGGGGTCCGCAGGGCCAGCTGCCACATACCTGGGAGCAAGTCCTCAAGAACCAGCCCAGCCCCCAGCTCTCTGCCACGAGCCCCCTGCTGCTTCTCATCCATGGTGTGTCACCCTCAGACCCCAAGCTTCACACGTACTCTGGACCCATGGCAGATGCACCAAGAAGTGACCAGCACTCTGCCTCAGGACTCTTGTCTGCGTGTCAGTGACCAGGAAGGCACAACCCAGGCGATGCTGCCTGCAGAACTGGGTGTCATCCCCCCCCAGCTCTGAGACCCCCAAAACCTAGATCTGCTGTTCCCTTCTCCTACCTCTTCCAAGCTCTCAGAGAAGCGCCTCTGCCTGCCTCACTGCCCTCAGCTTCGCAGTCATTGACATGGACCGGCGTGCCCATCCCCACCTGCAGAGACCACCCCCCTTCACCCTCCCCAGGAGAGCCCCCCGGTCAGCCATCCTGCCTTCTTCCCAGGCACCTCCATTCCATTGTCTCTGAGAAGGAAGCCTCACGCTTCCCTTCAGACCCCCGTACCTGTCCCTCATCGCTGCTGACCTCACCTCACAGCGTCCCCTTCTTCTCCTGCTTGCTTTCACTTAGCCGCACTCCTTCCTTGCCTCTCCTCTCCCCCTGCCCCCACCTTCTCCCCCACAGTCCCAGATGGCCTCCCTGGCTGTGGGTCCTGGGACCAGTTACTAAGCCTCTCAGTGTGGCGGTCACCTCCTCAAGAGGACCCACACTCCTTCTCAGGCAGGTGTAATGAGACAAGCTGAAGAGAGGCAGGGGTTTGGGGAGGAGGTGGCGTCAGGCTTGTTCTGGGCTCACAGTCCCTGAGAAGAGGCAGCTCTCTCTGCCACCACACGGCAGCCTCCTCCACATGGGAGGGAGGCTCTTTGGAAGCAGCAGTGTGGCTCCCAGGCAGGCCCTGTGTGAGTGCTTAGCATGTCGGCGGCAGGTCAGAAGGCCCCGCCTGGCGCCTCCTCGATCACGGGGCCCAAGATCATCCACACCGTGCTCCCAGCAGCTGCTTATGCCCAGGGCACCCACTGTAAGCAGACTGGCTGGGCAGGACAGGGTCAGGCCACACCCCCACCCGGCCAGCTCCTGGGACAGAGGTCCTGACCTGGACAGAAGTCCCCAGAGGGCTGCAGACAACCTAGCCCCAGGCCTGGGTGCAAGTGCCAAAGGAGCGTTCTCCTCTGCAGAATCCGGGCCCAGTGGGCCTTCTTTACATGTCTCCGTGTACTTTATGGATTTTCTCCATTAACCCTCACAGCCGCATTTTGAGAAGAGCCCAGAGAAGTTAACTGACACACTCAGGGTCACACAGCGAGGAAGGTCTGGCCAGCGCTGCCTAGATGCCCCCATACCCTTTCCCTCTTTGTCACAAGCAGCAGATGGCCACCTTCCCAGCCTGCCATGTTTTGTGCGGTGTGGGACTGAGTCCTGTCGGGCCAGGGAGGTGTGGCTAGAAATGGCAAGGACTGCACCTATGTCCCCATCTTCCTGCAGCTACTGGCCAGACACAGAGCAGCTAGTGCGGGCTTCCAAATCCCAGGTGAGGGCACGCAGACTGACCTGACCACCCCCCCTCCCCCACAGCAGACTGTGACCTGAATGAGGAACCAATTCAGTATGCTGAGATTTAGAGAATATTTGTTATACCAGCAAAGGTACACTAACACAGAAGGGACAGAAATGGCCCTGTGACTCTCCCCAGCACAAGTACCTCACCACACTTCTGCACTGGATAGCAACAGGGAAAATTTTGGCTCCTTGACAGTTGTCTTTCTAGAATGTTCTCCCATTGTGTTTCTTCCATGCTCATGGGCACCCATACATATCTCCCCTCCCCTGACACGACTCCCACCAACTGCACGATCTCTTCCTCAGGTCCTTAAGACTCAAAGCTGGCTTAAGCAATGTGGAAGTGACCGGCCTCACCTCTTCTGTCCTCCATTTGTGGCCACATCTTTGCCCACTGGGACCTTTGCACGAGAAAGGACCAAGGAAACAGATTCACTTCAGCCAAAGACGGGTTAAAGAAAAGGCAGGAACCCTGAACTACAGGCATAGGCACAGATGTTTGGGCAGACTAACACTCACTTGAGCCCAGAATCACCTCCTCCTGGAAGCCCTCTGCTTCCTCAGTGCCTACCCAGTGCAGGCACCTCATAAATGGCTCTGAATGGGTGAATGAATGAGTGAATGAGTAAATATCTGTTTGCTGAACATAGAGAGTAGGATGTTGCCATCGGCCAGATGTGTCCAGACTGCAGTGGTTGGAAACAGCAGGGAACAGCCATCACGGGGACAAGGGTGCTTCAAGCAGGGCTAGAGGGACCCACCCATTCCTCCGACACACACCAGCCCTCCCTCCCTAGTCGGGCCAGACCTGCTCCTGGAAGAGCTGAAAGCTCCTGCCCAGCGGTGCCCACCCACCGGGGCCCGCGCCGTCAGAAGCGGCTGCAGGGGCAGGGGGGTGGAGAGCTGCCCACCCTCCCCCCCCGCCCTGGCTCCCTACATCCAGGCCCACACATGCACCGTGGAGGTGGCCAAGGCAGAGAGGGCGGACTCACAATCCCGTTCTGCACGCTGAAGCCCAGCTGGTACTTGAGGTCAGGCCGCTTGATGAGGACCGTGGTGACCGGCGGACAGCTGACGATGTTCAGCTTCACCTGCGTCTGGTTCTTCAGACCCTGCGGGACGGGGCGGGAGTCACAGGGAGCCTCGAATGCCACCTAGGAGCACGTGCTCGCCGGCCCACACCGAGGCTGAGTCGGTGGGCAGGGTGGGGGATGCAAGGGAACAAGGCCAGTGGGTCAGCCCCCTCTCGGCCTCCAGGTCCCTCTGTGCAACCCATGTGCGGGGCGGCTGGCTACCCCGGGCGGCAGTACAGGCCATGGCCCGCTGCGCTCTGATGTGCCATCTGACCCAGCTGAAACCAAGCTGCTCGTGGAGACAGGGCCAGGCCCTGCCCACCACCATGCATGACCAGCGGGACAACACCGGGGTCACAGGAAGGGCCCCCGGCCAACACTGGATGCAGGAGGGGCACCTTCTGTTTATAAGGACCAGGAGGGGGATGCCTGGGTGGCTCAGTCAGTTAAGTGGCTGCCTTCAGCTCCCGTCACGATCCCGGGGTCCTGGGATCGAATCCTACATTGGGTTCCTTGCTCAGCAGGGAGCCTGCTTTTCTCTCTGCCTCTATCGCCTCTCTGCCTACTTGTGCTTTCTCTCTGACAAAAAAATAAATAAAATCTTTAAAAAAAAAAAAGAAGGACCAGGAGGAAGCCTTCCTCCAAATAAAATGTGCAAATGGCAGGGGTGGGGATGGGCGGTGAGGGGCTCAGTGAAAATCTGTAAGCAAGAGGACCCAGTGTCCACAGCAAGACCGGGCCAGATGAAGCCAAGGGGGACCTCAGGCCCCAGAGAGGCTGTGACGGTCAGCAGGCGCCCCAGGCCATGGCTGTGAGGTTAAGTCCCCACAGACGAAGTCTCTGGTCCCGTGGGCTAAGGGCTCTGCTGTGCCTACCGTCTGTCTTCTCAGGTGGTCGCCCAGCAGGCGACCTCTGAACGCCCTTCAGCTGTCAGGCTGACGAGGACACAGGCCTGTCCTCCAGCACCAAGACCGCAGCGGGTGAGGAGGAACAAGCCACAGGGGGCTGGGGGCAGAATGCCGACGGATGCCCCAGGGCTGCCCCCAAGCAGGCAGAGCCCACCGTCTGGAGACCCTGAACAGGGCAAAGGCACAGGAGCGCCAGGCCTCTGGGCCACCTCTCTGAGCTTCCTGTCCCAAGGCTCTTCTCGAGCCAGAGCAACCAGGCATGAGGACCCCCCAGCAGGGACCGAGAGCTCAGCATCTCCCAAAGCTGCAGGCTCACGGGCCAGATGGTCAGAGCCGCCAGCCCTGCTCTCAGACCCCTGCAGGGTGACCAACCCTCCCCATATGCCCAGGAAATGGGACTCTTGGTGCTAGTCTGCGAAAGTCCCATGCATGCCGGGTCACCCTGCATCTGGAGGTCCTCAGCCCTTGCCTGGGGTCCACGTCCCTCAGAAATGGCATCAGTGAAACCAAATGTCCCGTTCTTACCCCCAAGGGCAGCTGGGGTTTCTCCAGACCTGTTTCCTCACGTGTCAAGCGGGAAAGGACAAGGCAGTGAGAATAAAACAAGGCAGGGGCCCCGCGTACACACCTTGATGATGCCCTGACAGGTGGCAAGGGGCAGCCCCACCAGGCTGGTGCCGTTGATGGACATGATCTGGTCCCCAATGCTCAGCTTCCCTGAGCGGGCTGCCGGGCCGCCGTTCATCATGTTCGCCAGGATCACCGTGGGCAGGATGGAGCCCCAGCCCGACTCCACCACCACCACGCCCAGGATCTCGCCCTTGTGCTTCTCCAGCTGCAGCTGTAAGGACATGAGCCGTGAGAGGTGCCCGTGATGGGGGCCGGGGACCTGTGCGCCTACCACCCCATTCCAGCCTCGCCTGGCTCTGGGTCCCAAGCTTGAACCAAGTGCACAGACGCCCTCCTGCCCATGCCCAGCACGGACCCCTCCAGGCCCCAGCGGGGCTCCAGGGTCCTACCTCTTGCTCTTCTCACCTCCCACCAACCCATGGAGGCGAGAAGAATGATAGACTCCAGGGCTCAAATCTGCCCCTGGCTCTTGCTCTGATCTAGAGAAGTCCTACCTTCATTCCACTGCAAGGATCACTCTCAGAAAGCTGTCTGTCATTCATTCAGCAATAAATCTGGAAGAGTCATTCATTCGTTCACTCATTCATTCCACAAGCAGTCTGATTATTCCTTCCCCTGGGCAGTGCCCCGAAGTTCCCCATTTTGAAAATGCTTCTTATATGCTTTTCAGAAACACCTCCTGGGTGCTGAGCTCCAGCAGATGATAATAGCGGCATTAAAAGGCACATTTTCAAGGTCATTAAGACTGACTGTAATCAGCTCCTTTGTTACAACAACACCTCATTTCGCACACAAGTGCTCAGCTCTAAAGGCAGGCACAAATGTACATTCCGGGGAGTGCTTCATTCTGCTGTGAGGATGGGGATTCGCACGAAGGCCCTTCAAGCGAGCTGCTCCGGGGCATCGTGGTGGGAGGTCGGGGGGCTCTGGTGTGCAGGGGCCCAGCGAGGGCGGCAGCAGGGGCCACAGCAGTGTGGCATCCAGTGGCCCGCCCAGGGTGTGTGTGTCTCACCTCCTTGCAGTTCTCAGAGTTGGAGAAGTGGATGAGGTCGTCGTTGTACATCTCTTGGGTATTGATGATGTCACTGTACTCCTTCTGGCTCAGGTCTTCGGGGTTGATGCCATTGGCCCGCAGGAATTCCTGGTAGGCCACGCTGAAGGCCTGGCCAATGGACTGTGCGATCAGCTGGGCCTGTGGGCAGGGAGAAGCCCACTAGGGACCAGCACAGGACCACAGGCACCACGCATCCGGGAGAGGAGGGGCTGTGACAGAGCTGGGTGCAGAGGCACGTGTAAGCCTGGGATAGGCCCTTGCTGGGCTTAAAGCAACAAGAGAGAAACTGCAGGCCCTCCTCTGGTGATGGCTGTCCTCCCGCCAACACCCCATGGTCAGCCACCTTAGGGGGAGCCTCTCTGCTGCCTTGAACTCAGCAGGGCCCAATCCTATCTGCTCCCACCTGAGCCGTTTAAGTCCCAGACTATCCAGGACAAAGCACAGTTTCAAATAAAGTCCAGAAAAATTATGGATTGTTTGCTAAACATCTTATTTTTGTTGCTTTAACTGGAAAATGTACTATATTTTCTTTCTTCCCATCTTATTCCAAAAATAGACTTGAGGTGTGTGTTCTTGGAGGAAGGTCACAGAGACTGAGCTGTCTCCCCAACATTTATGTCTCTCTAGAAACAGAACCCAATGTCAACTGGGGAGGCAGGGTGTATGTCCCGCTGTTCTTGGGGGTGGGGGACGGTGTGGCTGTTTCAGGCTGACACCGATGAGAAGCACAAGACCTGGAGACACCAGTACAGACCCTACAGAGCAAAGCATGTCGTTCTACTACAAGGAACCACTTGTGTGGACGTTATTGAATCTCGGACACTACAGAGTCCTGGACATTGAAAAGTCATGGCCAGGCTTTGCCTCTGGTTTTGACCCAAATGCTTAAATCTCTTTCTCCCTCTATACTTAAAGCACTGCATGCTTTAAGTGCTACAAATGAGTATGTCTCTGCACCAAAGTGGGCTGGGCCGGACGATAAAAGCAGAGCTGGAGCATGGAAAGCTTTCCTGAAATAGGTAAGAAGTCTAGATTGAACTGCTCTCCCACACTGGGCCCAGAATAGTTTACAGGAAGGACAGGCAATGTTCACTTGGCAGGAATAAGCCCTGATCACTCCCAAAACCAGCATTTTGGCTGGGCTGCTTAGGGCGGACTGGCCAGAGTTGCCTTCCCTGGAGGCCACCAGGGGACACCCCAGCCTGGGCACATGTGGACTAAAGGGTGGCGAGCCCAGAGATGGTGCACTGGAAAGCAGCAGAGCAACAGCCGGGGCTCTGGCAGAATCTGGGAGTCAGACCTCGGGAAGAGGCCAGAAAAAAGTGGGGGGATGAATGAGAGCCCAGGACCTGCCCTGCCCCAGTGGGGTCCCAAGGCTTGCTGCTGGCTGCCCCCAGGCCTCCGGGTCTGTCCTCACCTGACTGTAGTCCTCTGACAGGGAGGGGTTCTGAGAGCATCGCTCCCTTCTTCCCTGGTGATGGCCTGGTGGTGCTGTCTGATGCCCTGGGGCTCTGCCTGGGGCTCTGCCTGGGTGCCCCACCCCAACCCATAGAAGCTCCTGGGGACAGTGACACCCTTCATGCCAGGGTGCAATCCAGGAACGCTAGGCACTTCCCCACCAACAGCTGGGGGCAGTCTCCCATTTCCCCATCTGCCCCATGTCCTAGTGTCCCTCCCAGCCGGCCTGGGGGCCACACTGGAAACCCTGCAGACAAGGGGCTCCCCTATCCCCCCCCCCAGCTCACAGCCAGGGCCTGTGGGTGTTCAATGCTGTGAAGCCAGGAGCCCCGCTCAGGCAGCGGGGAGTACAAGGGGCTCAGAGAAGGGTTGGCATTGGCAGCTTGGCACTCAGAGGCGGCCTCCTGCAGGAAGTGAGGTGGGTGGAATGGGAGCTGCCATACCCCAGCGCCCTTTTGCCTTAGCACTTTCGCCTGTGTGCGTCATATACCCGGGCCTCGGTCCTGGAGTGCCTGAGCTCCATCTCATAGAGGGAAACTGAGTCTCAGAATGAGCCCCTGGTATCCCTACTGCCACTTTTCATTTTCTCCAGGTGTTCCATCTGCTGCCAGCAGACCCTCAGACCCCTTACTCATCCCCAGCAGCCCCCCGGATGGAGCCACCATCCAGGTTCTATGCTCTGGGCAACTCCTGAGTATTCCCACACACACCCTACCAGGAGGGTCCTGCCCTCAATCCTTTAAGGACCACTCAGAGTCCCACGAATGCTCACCTCCAGACAACAGCACCTCTGACTCTAGCCCTCGGCCCATGGCCATCCACAGGGGCCGGCTGCTCGGAGCCCCATGGTGTTCCCTGCTCCTGTGACTTCTCTGCCGATAGGCTGCTCACCATTTGCCACTGGCCTTGCCCTGCCCGTCACTCACAGCCCTTCCTGAGGACCCATCTCTCCTCACCAGGTCTCTAAGACATCCTCTAGCCCCGAGTCCCATGGAAGTGCCCATCCAGGTGCCCAAGGAGATCTGGATCGTGGGGAGAAGAATCTGTGTGTGCACCAGCGGGTCTATGTTTAAATTTCTTCTCCCATCAATATACCATTGCTTCAAAGCACTTCTAGATGACTTCAACTGCTTAGCAAAAGGAGGACTCTACCTCAGTCTTGCCTTCACATATAAAAATCTGGGGGCCGTTCCCTTCTGCTTCAGGTCCCTGCCCTGCAAGCCCATATGTGAACAAGAATGCCCCTTTCCAAAAATCCAGGGAGGATTGGCTTTCAAAATTCTCCTTTGGCAACACCCACAAGATCTGCCCGCCAGGGGGCAGCAGAGAGACCTAGCCCAAGTCTCCTGTGCTCACCACTTGGCCCCCTGCTCCCTTCTCTGGTTCCCTTCTCCCAGCTCCAGGCTCAGAAAGATGCTCTCATCCCACTGAAGGAAAGAGTCACGGGGTTCATGGTCTCTTAGTGAGTGTGAAGTATTTTGAATTATGACATGAAACGGCCATGAGCAAAAGCAGAGCTGTTCCTTGGGCACAGACATTGCTTCCTTGTATGCAAGCCTGGCGTGTGAAAATGCACATCTTAACCACCAAAAAGTCAGGAGTAATCTGTTAGCGCCCCTGGCCTGTTCAACCACGTTCAATTTACAAACAGCCCTGAAGGACATTATTTCACGAAGTGAAATAAAACTATGCTCACTCTCTTCGCAAACTCTGAATGTTAGGAAAAACAAACAAACAAAAAAAAACCCCAAAATTCTGATTCCACCGGAGACATCAATGACAGTGCACCAGATTTCCACCTGAGGCGCGGCTTCCGAAGAGCCTGGGATGCCGCAGGGGCGCTGGTGAGGTTGGGCCCGCTGGGAGGGGCCCTGTGTGCCACTGCGGTTACTTACATCCTCAGACTCGAACACGTGGCAGATCATCTTGTACTGCTTCTTCCCCTCCTGGGCCCCAGGGGTGGTCTCGATGCAGTCCTGCGAGGCCGACCGGGGCATGCGGCGCCTGGCCATCAGCACCACGATGTTCCCAATGTCTGCGATGTAGGAGATGGTGCGCAAGGCGTGGTCCATCATGGTCTCCTGTCAGGAGCGGGGCGGATCCACGTTAGGGAACGTTAGGGAGAACAAGCCATCACAACACACTCAAGTTCGGGATTTCTTGGCCTCGACGCTGATGCCCTTTGGGGTGGGTCCTCCTGTATTGTGAAGGGTGGTCCCACACACTGTACGATGATTAGTGGCACCCCTGACCTCTTCTGGCTAGATGCCAGTAGCATCGCCCCCTTGCTAAGTTGTGGCCACCAGAAATATTTCCAAATGCCCCCGTGGGGGACAACATCACCCTGGTTGACAATCACTGCTCTAGGGAACATGGCGTTCGAGGGCAGTGATGCACAGTTAAGGTGACTCTGCCTTTGCCCCACAGCACCCTCCCACTGTTTCTTGCAGGCACGAGGTCAGGGGCCCTTGTCCCTGCTGGGGGAAGGGGGGCGGCTGGAAGAGGCAATCTGCGGCTCTGGAGAGGGGTCCCTTCTCTGCAAGCCATGTGCTTCTCCCCAGCAGCTGAGGAAGGCTCTGAGGCCAAAGTTTTCCACGGATGAGTTCTTCCCAGGGAGCCCAAGCAGGGCAGTCCCCCGCCAGGGGACACTGAGGCAGATCCCCTGACTGATCGATGGGTCTCTGGCCATTCAATTCCCTCGACTCCTGGCAGGTCCATTACTCTTGATGGCTTTTGTCGTCTGCCAGGAATCTCCCCTGAGCATCGTGCTCATGACCCCTACGTAACAAGGCTGCACACAAAGGCTCTGAGAAACTAATCAGTTGGTCTTTTATGCCTTTGTGCTTTTTCCACAAAAGAAGATTTGGCTGCTTCTGCAACCTTGGAAGCCTCTTTTCTTCCTCACAGAATCTACTTTTACAGCAGATATTACCCCGCGTCTGTCTTCCGGGAGCTGATTTGTTTCCTGGCCAAGGCTGGGTGGGGTGGGGTGGGGTGGGGTGGGGTGGGGGTTTCAAGCCACAAGAGCCACTTTTCAGGAAGGGGGACTGGTCCGGAAATCGCCGAGGGTGCCTCTTCAGCACTTGTGGCCACAGATCCCGGGCAGACAGAGGGACGAGTGTGAACTCTGGGCTTTTTAGAACACATATACTGTCTAGCTCCGCTCGTGGCAAAGCCCCAGGAACAATGAGACCCTTGCAACCATGGGCGTGGCCAGTGCCCGGATCTTTGTTTCTGTAATATTGTTCCCCACAGAAAGGAAGTGCGTGTGACTCCTCAAAGAAACGGCCGATTCCAGGTCTGCAGCTGGGCAAGCATCAGGGGAGCTTGAACAGCTCACTGCCTCAGAAAGCAAGGACGTGATTAGTGACTAAAGCGAAGATGTCCAAACCACCCAGGACCCAGTTTAAAGGTCCAATTGGGGATCACCAGAGCCCCAAAAAGAATAACACAAGTTAAAAAAAAAAAAAATCCATCGGTCCACAGTGAAGAGAGAGAGAAAGAAACAAAAGGTCTGCCTGGGGTCAGGTGCAATAATAAAAAGTGGAGAACGTGACATAATTAGGAAATGCACCATTTTTGCACTTCCAGTGTTAGAACCAACACAAGCAAGATGATCCCTTGTGCCAAAACCTGCAGGCAAAATGGGTATCAGGGAACAGGGTCCCCACACATCTGGACAGTCGCCACACAGATTACTCGCTGAGGACAAAGAAGCAAAGGGGTCATTACCCCAGCATCTGGCCCTCCTCCCACAGGCCTAGGAATGGAGGTGAGTGGAACCTCCCTTTCCCCCGCAAACTTCAGGCACAGGGCACTGCCCGAGGCCTTCCCGACCCCTCCCTCCCTCTGCCCTACGCCGCTGGCCTCCTGCCCTCTTCCTCTTTGGCCCGTAGGCCTTTCTATCTGGCACGGCTCACTTGTTCCTCACGGATCTGTTTTCTCCACCAACAGCAGTGATGAAGGCCCAGGAAAAATGAGCAGAAGCTGGCCAGGGCATAATGGTTCACAGGTAGAAAAATCTTAAGACAGTTCCCCCCAAAACACCCCTTTGGTGGAGCACCACCCTCTCGGAGGGCCAAGGGCTCACACGGCCTTTCCACTCTCCTGCTCCATTCCCCAGGCCTGGCATGCCCAGGTTTCCGGAAGGCCCTTCTAGAACCCTGATGGTGAGCACACAGCTTCCGACTCCCCACACCTTCCCCTTCATTTTGCCTCCTTAATCCGGGCTGCAGCACACCTACACCACAGGACACCGCAGGGTTTTCTCGGCCCCCTGCAGCTTGCTCCAGATTTCACAGCCACATCCCATTCAATCTGCGGGTTCCGCAGCGACTGTCCTCAGGGACAGCCCTTCAGCTCACTCCCAGAGGGAAAGTTCTCCCGCAGCCAGACCTCATTCTCCTCTGGTTCCTGAGGTGGGAAGTTAGGGGTTCAATGACATGATTTTAAACAACGGTCTTTAGAGTGCTTACCTGTGTGTCCGCATTTAACACCTTGATCCTCTGGGTGGAGATGAAGAGATCCACCTCGGTCAGGGTCTGGGCATCCCCCTCGGAATTCTAAGAAAGGACAGTGGATACTGTTACAAATGAATGAAACAAAAAACAAAAAACAAAAACAAAAACAAAAAACCTAACTTGAACAAAGGCCTGACAATTTTACTAATGACCCTGAGCGCCCCTAGAGGGAAATGCCTCTCCGGCTGGAAGCAGCCCTGGGAAATCTCAATTGCATGCCGCCTTCCAGCACAATCTCTAGCGAACTGAGTTCTGAAGGCAGTTTGCACAGGGCGTGAAGAAGGAGGGAGGAGACAGCTTCCGGAAGCCTGAGCATGGAGGGGGGCCGGACGCCTGGGGTCTTGGGTCCCAGCATCCAAAGCGCAGCCCCTCCACTCCCTAAAAAGTAGGCCTGCCTGCCGACGCTTATCAAACTCGGTAAAGGCACAGGGTCTGTGTACTCGGGCTGCACACGTTTCCGGGATTTGAGATTCCAAATATCCCCAGAAATGGGGAAGAAATTTTCAAAGGCATTGGATTAGATCGTCAGCATCTTCTTCTGATTTAAATAGTCCTAGTTATGTCAACCCCCAGCAGGCTTAATGCTGATCTTCCAAAAACCCTAAGGGAAGCAAGACCCCAATAGGACTCAGTGTTGCCCTCCCAGCAACATGGGAAAAACCAGAAGATGCTGTCACACAAACGCCCCTGTTTTGTCAGCTCCTGGAGTGTGTTCATCTTATGGCCATTGCTTATGTGTCCAAGGAATGTTCTAGAAGCTGGGTGAACTATTTATTCAGGGTCTGCTCTAAACCAGGACAGCTTTTCATTGGTTTTTACAACCATGGGAATTTTAATTACTACTGCACAGTGGCAATGAAATACAAGTTCTTTCAGTTTACCCACTGAGATAAGAAATACTTCATGGTCACTGGGAGCCCACGGTGACATATCTTCCACTTCAAAAGAGCAGAAACTGTGATTTAATTCCTGGCTACGAAATCTGAAATCCAAAATCCCCCCGCTGACAATTCCTCAAGAAATCAGAGTTGCAGAGAGACCCTATATATATTTGCATTGCAGCTCAGTTTTCAAGGGAAAAGTTCTTTTGGGCTTTCAGCCCACCCTGAGGCGACACTGCTTTCAATTGATTTTAAAAGAAGAAAAAAATACAGTTCAAAATAATGCAGTTGAAAATAGCAGGAACGTGGGGTGCCTGGGTGGCTCAGTGGTTTAAGCCTCTGCCTTCGGCTCAGGTCATGATCTCAGGTTCGTGGGATCAAGCCCGGCGCATCGGGCTATCTGCTCAGCAGGGAGCCTGCTTTCCCCTCTCTCTCTGCCTGCCTCTCTGCCTACTTGTGATCTCTGTCTGTCAAATAAATAAATAAATAAATAAATAAAATCTTAAAAAAAAAAAAAGAAAATAGCAAGAACATACAGGAACTACTTTTCCTCTGATTTGAAAAACCGGGTTATATTCTAACATGTATGTCTAAGCACGTATGTCCACATGCTTTCAAACGTTACATATTATGGGATTGTTCCTCAAAACCCTCTTGCTTGAAAAAGTAGGTTTGGCCAGAAGGGGGAAAAAAAAAAAAGAAGAAGAAGAAGAAGAAAAAGAAGAAAAGTTGCAGGTGGACTGGGTTTTAGTGGCAATTTCTGGAGGAAGCTCGAGTGCTGCACCCTTGATGGGAGAAGAGGGACAAACGTGCAGGGGACTGGGCTCGAACTGGGGGTGAATGGAGAAAGCCAAAACCAGATCGGTAACAGGGGACAGCAAAGCTCACCCTGCCATGCTCTCTGCTAGAAGAAAGGGGGTGTGTCAACAGCAGGAATCCAACAGAGGCCATGAAACAACGGGGTGGGCATGTCTGTGGATGGGGAGCCATGACCCCATAGTCACTCCAGGTTAGCTGTGTGGGGGACGCTGCTTCCTCCTGGTCCCAGACTCGTGACGCATCCCCCTCTCAGCGCTTGCCTGGACAGACGTGAGCAGACCAGAATAGGAGCCCTGGGTTTGGGAAGAACAGCTCTCCAGGGATCTAACCAGCTCGCCTCAGCAAGTCTGGAGGCTGTTCCGGGCTGGACCCGCCTGCTCCCTAGAGACCCTTTGGGCTCCCTGAATGGCATACTGAGGACCAGAGCCCCGCTCCAGCCTCCTGGTGCTTGGGCAGCCCAGAGTTGCCCTGGACAAACCAAAGGCTGGGAGCCCCTTTCCCTTGGGAGGGAAGCATACCCCAGCTAGCGCTCTGCAAAGCCAGGCTCATCTCCACTGCCTGGAGGCGCCTAGCAGAAGGCTCGCTGGGAGGAGGGAGATGGGTGAGTTCCTTCCTCTCCTACAGCTCAAGAAATCCAAGGAGACACCACCGGGCAAAGAGCAAATATCATCATAGGGAGAGAAGTCTCATCACAGGAGGAAGTGAGCACCCAGACCCAGAAAATGCTGTTCAGGTGGTGAAGAGAGGATTGAATCTCTTGCCCTTTAAGCGACAAGCTTAAAGGGCAGCAAATCAGTGTCTTCTAATACCGAATATTTGAGATTTCCTATATCAAGAGGACCGAGCGTTTACTAAGTGACCAGGCTCACAAACAAATGACTGGAGGTCAACGGGATTTTTTTTTTTTTAAGTTGGCTCATGCCCAGAAACTCTGTGCCCCCACCCTTTTTTTTTTTAAAGCACACTGCTTGCTGGGCGTGGAGACCGATGCGGGGCCTCAGCTCACCAGCCTTAGACCAAGACCTGAGCGGAGACCAAGAGTCAAATGCTTCACATACTGAGCCTCCCAGACACCCCGCAGCAACCCTTTCCAGTGGGGAACGCATCTCGTGGGCAAAGTGACCTTCTCATCATCATCCTGATTTAACAAATTAAGCCTAAGGAGTTTTTAAATATCAGAACAATTTAATTGATTTTGTACGGGGGACCTAAGTGCTAAATGCATCACATGGTCGTGTCAAATGTCACCTGTAAAAACATCTGCGTGAAACAGGAACGTCACGGCATTAGCCGTGTTCTAGCATGAGAGAGAATAAACAAGAAATCTGGAAAAAGGGCAATGATTAGATTTTTCTGTAAGTGGATGGCTAAAAATTAAACAAAAACAAAAACAAAAACAAAAACAAAAAAACACCCCACAAACCAGTGTCTGTAGTTTGTTCAAAAGTCTACCATTTATCTACCCAGGGACGAGGAAAAAGCTGTTTGCCACATGATGCGTGTTCCTGCAAACAGCACCAAACCCTCCCAAACTGCACAGGACAAGGCCCAGAAACCCAGGCAAAGCCCTCAGCCCTACACACCGCTTTTTTCTTGATTTTAGCAGCCTTTTGCATCCTCTGCGCAGCATGTAAGAGAAAAGAAAAACGGATAAAGGAAGGAAGAAAGAAAGGAAGAGAAGGAAGGGCAGCCAAGTTATTTTGGTCTTGGGGTCAAGCCCCCGGGACTCCGACCCTGTGCTCAGGGGAAGCCCCCCACGGGGGCAGGAGGGGTGGGTAGCTACCACTTCATCGAGCATGCACGCTGACCACGAGAAGCCCCCACACGTGTCCCTCGGGCGCTGGGAATCACCAACAACCGCTTGGATCTGAGGGGGTGAGACGGGACGGAGTGATGCCACTGGCCGGGAAGTGCAGAGAAGCACCGGGCTCTTGGGCAGAGAAGCAGGACTGGGGTGTGGAGCAGGAGGGCCCGGGGTGCTGTGTTCTCTTCTCCAGACCACCATGATCTTGTGTCCCTGTGCCTCCATGAAGAAGGTCAGGGGACAGCGAGGACAGACGAGGGGCCCAACATGGTTTCTCAGCCCCCAGGGGCTGGCAGCATCCACAGACCCTATCCTGCCCAGAGGGGGCATCTCCTTGGACCACCCCACCCTTCCCGCCAGACCCCATTAGTGTTGCTGACTTGGCCAAACCGGCGCACCGCTGAGCCCACCAGTACCTTGACCCGGCTGACGGCCTCCTGAGCCTGCATCATTCTGATGTTCTTGGAAGGGTTACGTTCTGAGAGCAGCTGCGTGGACCCCAGGTAGTTGGCAGCAAAGATGATTCCATCAATGAGGTCTTCTGGTTCACAGGGCCCTGGAACTGATGAGGGCACAGTTAGCATCCTCCCAGAGGACCAAGGAATAAGGTCGCAGGGACAGGGGACGAAAGCAAAGGGCTGACCCACGGCCCATCCGCAGTTAGCAGAGGAAGGCCAGTCTCCTTCCCTCATTGCCACACAGTGTGTGGTACACAGAAGAAAGCAAATGCAATTCCCAGGCCAGAGAAGTCCACATGCATGGCTCAGGAGGACAATTCCAGGACCTCGGGCAACTGTCACACAGGGCATCTCAGCCTCCAAGGTGACAACCATATGCTGCAATCCCAGAGACGCACTTTCCCAAACTGGACAGCATTTCCATGCTTACCCCTGAGCCCTCTGGAAACAGGACAGGGAGCAGAAATTGCCCACTACCCTCCAGTTCTTCTGGGGCCTTCTCCTCTGCTTCTGTGCTGTAGGGCTCTGGTCCTGTCACATGCCTGCCTGGGTGGGTCCCCTCATTCCCTACACCTCAGATCCAGGCTGGATCTGAGGTGTAGGGAGCTCTTGCTCAGCAGCTCAGGAAGCTCAGCAGCTCTTGCTCCCCTCTGCTGCCTCTAGACCAGTGCTGTCAATGGAACTTTCTGCCATGTTGTAGAATGTTCTATCCTGGTGCTGTTTAATACAGGGACCGCTAGCCATGTGTGGCTTTGGAGTACTTGATCTGGGGCTACTGCAGAGGAAATGAATTTTTAAATTTCATGCAATCTAATTAATTTACCCAGAAATTGCCACATGTGGCTAGTGACTCCTGTCCTGGACAGGCAGCTATAGGTAAGGTCAGCAAAACTTTTCTGCAGGAGGCTAGATGGAAAATATCTTAGGCTTTGTAGTCTGGGTCCAACGAGTCACCTCAGCATCCAGAGGACAAAAGCAGGCCCAGGCCATCTGTCTATGAGCAGGCATGTCTGTCTATCTATGAGCAGGCTCCGGAAAACCTCATACATGGACCCGGGTGGCTGGGAGCATTTGGCCCCGGGTCCACAGCCTGTAACCCATAGACCATCACGCGGCCTTCCTCTGAGACCCACTACCTTCCTTTCCAAGTCACTGCCTTCTTTCTCCCTGCCTGCCTCTCGGCCAGACCCCTCCTTCTGAAGGACCTTGGCTCTGACTCTCAGGCTCCCCCTCACTCCAGGTTCCACAGGGCTGGCTGGCTGGTCTCCGTGGCCAGCAGTTCTCTCCGGACCCCAACCCTCAGCCAGCTGTGGGGAACCGTGTTCTCCCCTCTGACCCTCTCTGCTGCTAAAAGCATCGACTTGCCAAAAGCCTGGATGACACTGTCTACCAGTCCCATAACATCTGCCCAACACCCACGACTCCCTGCCCCACGTCCCACCTGTGGGCCCCAGGGCCGCGGAACAACTCCAGCCACCTGCGAGCCTGCAGCTGGAAAGAGCCAGAGCCGCTCAACAAGGCAGACTGGTTCCTTTCCAAATTCACAGCCCAAAATACCCTCAGAACATGCTGGTGACCCTGAAAGGTGCCCCCTGAGGAGCGCCCCCTCTCCCTCTGCATAAGCACCATTTCATCCTTCCCTCATAACCAACCTACCCCCGAAGGCTGTCCCTCCCAGTCCAAGTGGGACTCTCTCCAGTTCTGCCACCGCCACTGCCTCCTTCCATCCTGGACGTGAGGATGGCCCTCAACTAGACCGTGTGAATAGCAGTGGACCGCCTGTGTCCCTCCAAAATCCTGATGCGTAAGCCCTCACCCCGCCACCCCCCACCCTGCGCCCCGCGTGATGGGATTAGAAATATGACCTCTGGGAGGTGATCTGGGAGGCCAAGGAGGGCAGAGCCCTCAGGAATGGGATCTGTGCTCTGATAAAAGGGACCCTGGAGAGCAACCTTGCCTGCTTTCTGCCACACATGGACACAGAGAGAAGGCCGTCTGTCACCCGGAAGGGGGCTCTCACCAGAACTCAACCACATGGGTACCCTGAACTGGGACTTCCGTCCTCCATGGTTTATAAACCCCACAGCCTCTGGTGCTTGGTTAGAGCAGCAAGACTAAGACCTGAACCTTCTACCCACAGGTTACTCCCCGGCTGCCACGAGAGGGTCCTCTTAGAGCTCCCCTGCTGCAAACTGCATGGGGCCCCTCATTCTCTCAGGAGAATGTCCTGAGAGCCCCAAAACCCAGCGCTCCCATTCAGAGGTCTGTGCATGTGAGGGGACAAGGGCAGTTTTGCTGGGCTCTGCCATCCCAACGTCAGCAGACCCCCAGAGACTGGGGCCCCAACTCCGGCCCACATGCCCACCCCTAGCTGCTCGGGCGCTGGGGCTCAGTGAGGGGCCTACTGTGAGCAGGCTGTCACCCCAAGATGGGAACGTGCAGCTGCCCTGACACCAGGCCGACCCTGGATTCAGGGCGGGTTTTTCAAATTACGTTCTGAAACGTTAGTTCTCTTCAAACCACAGGAGATACTGGCCCACGGGGAGATGTCTGGGAGGGGACCCGTGCATTAGGCTTTCACTGGAACAAGCCTCAGCCTGTGGACTTGCCATTAAAGCTCTGAAATTGGTCATAGCATGTGTCCATTAGCCTCAACTGGCTGCCTGAAGACCCCTTCCCAGGGGCTCACATGTCAGTCTCACATGTCAGACTGACAGCTGGGGACCTACTCCCCTCTCTCTCAAGCCAGCACCACAGCTCCTGCACTAAAGGCAATTTTTGTAACATGCTTTAGAACAAGGTCAAGTATTCTGAAGTTTGAAAGGAATCTGTTAGTAATAACGGGCCCGGCAGGTCCCACCTTAGGAACGCCCCAGGTCATGAACCACAGAATTGTGGGGGCCCTCGCATCCTGACACCACTGCCCTGGGGACCCCCTCTCTTGCTCCCCACTGACCTTGACAGCCTCCCTAGCAGTGCCCAGAGGATGCACCCCTTCCTCTTGGGGGCTCAGATGTTTGTTCTAGGGTTCTCAGATAAGTTTTGGGAGGCTCCCCCAAACCCTCAGGCAACAAACCCCACCCCTCAGCCCCCCAGCCCTCTCTGAGAGGGCTACAGAGCCCTCACAGAGCCTACCTGGTCCTCCCCCCAGGATGGACACCCCCATGACTCCCACAGTCTGCTGGCAAAGCCTTTCCCCAAGTGCCTCTCCCAGCCCCTCATCTGCGTCTGGAGGAAAGAAGCATCTTCTGTTCCAGAACCAAGTGAAGGGGTCCTTTCAAGAGCCTTGGGTGGGGGAGGGGAGACAGGAGAAAGTGGGGCCTAGGTCTGGAGGGGGAGAGCTGCCCCTCTGGGTGGTCTCCCCACCACATGCTTTCCTCTGGGAAAGCTCTTCCCACACAGCTGGCATTGCTGGATCCATTGGACGCTGCCTGTGGCAGCAGACGGGTGGTGGTCCAAGGGCTCCACAGCCCCGGGGGGTGTGAAGGCCAAGGAGGGGGGAGGGTACAGGGGGCCTTGAGAAGAGGGTATCAGGGGCTGGGTGGGGGGTGAACTCTGGGTTGAGGGCTGGTGGTGGGAGGGATTAGGGGTGGAGGTTCGGGGCTGGGGCCAGGTGGGCTGTAGAGCCCAGGGAGTACCCTAGCTTCTGGCAGGTTTGTAAGTTCACCTTTCCAGTATTTAAAAGACACCCCAGAAAAGCACATGCACATGCATGTTCAGATCAAGCATTCCTTGATCTGAACCGTCATCACCGCTACCTTCCCCAAAGGTCCGTGCAAGTGGCCACGTGGAATGACGGTGCCTTCCCTTCTAGCCCAGCCTACCCACTGCCTCCAGGGCTGCCCACTCTGGCCTCCAGCTGGTGCTGGCTCTGGTGGGGCCCGCAGAGACCTGGGTGGTGGGACCTCAGTGCAGAGGACTCTGAGGGCTCCTCCCAGAGCTTCTCACTTCACCGAGAGTCCATCACGGGTCAACAAGCCCTCACCCCTCCACACACACACGTGCATGTGTGTACAAGCGCCCACACCCATGTAGGTACACAGGAGTGTCCACCCAACAAAGCTTCTCACACGGCTCCTGAGCCCACAGAGCCACCCCTCCGAAGCAGGTCTGTGCACCCACTGGGAGGTCTGAAGGGAGGTGGGGACAGCCCTCTAGGTCCCACAGAGCCTGCCCATGGATCCAGGGACACGGTGGGAGTCTGAACTCTTCCAACTGTCCTGCTCGAAAAGGCTTTGTGCTCTTGGAACAGTCATCTCTCTCTCTCTCTCTTTTTGGGGGGAGACTCAATTTACTCACCAGTGAAATGGGGTGAGGGGGAACTCCTGATTTCTATCTTCTTAGGTTTTTGCAAATGTAAGATTAATAGGGTGAGCTTCATAAATGCTAAAAGCATGTAAAGTACAAGGCATTAGTTAACGAAGTCTTAGATTTCATTTCCATGTAAGTCAAAAGACACATCATAGCACTTAGCCGAGGCAGGGCCTCAAGCACCAGATGAGGGGGGCAGCAGCAATGCCAGCAGGCAGGGTCCAAGGCCAGTGAGTGCGCTCACATGGTCTTGTGGGCACATGGCCTGACAGCCCACTGAGGCTCAGACGACAAAGGGACACCATGGTCACACTGATGTTAAGGGACAGAGCAGGGGCCATACTCAAAGGCAGCCACATTTGGCACAGTGACCTCCACTGTCATTGATGTGCGGAGTCCCCACGCTGCAGGTAAAAAGTGGTACAAACCTCTCTAAACCTGGTACCCTACGGGGCAGGGGGAGGTGCCAGATTTAAAACCCCTGGAGCTGAAGTAGGGGACGGAGGGACAGAAGAAGATCCCAAGCAGCTCCTCTGTGTCCAGAATCGTGTTCAGAGCCCAAGGGCCTGCAGTCCCATCGGGTGGGTTCTGGGATTTCGCATTACATACACGCCCCAGTGACACTGAAGAGCACCCCTCTGGGCAAACCTGACCTTCAGCACACAAGCCCTCCTCCTCCCCTGTCATCTTAGGAGCAAAGCTGCTGAGAGGCCAGGCCAGCACCTGCTTTCCCTGGCAGGTGGAAAAGCGCCAGGTCCCAAGGGCAGGATTCCTGGTGGCTCCTTCCATCTCA